AATCATTTGTCTTATTAGAAAATATTTTTTAAAAAAAATATTTTGTTTTAGTGTTACTTGTTTTATCACGATATTGTAAGTATGTATTGTATCTTTTATATTTACACAATTGTTTTTTAATAATACGTATGGTGTACTGGCATGTTTAAAAGTCATCACCATTGTATATTTTAAAAAAACTGACCCTATTCCGTGAAGATAAGATAACAGTGTTAACTAAGGGATAAATTATCCTTTTTACCCCTACCCATTTGACCATGCTTCTTTTTTGTTTACCCAAACTTTTGACACATTTGTAATAAATTTAGCTTTGACAAATTTGAGATAAGTTCGATAGTTTTGGCTTGAAATCGACAAATTCGATAAGATCAAAATAAAAAAACGACATATTTATGTCTGAACTTTTAAAAGATTTTCACATCATATTGTCTTTTTCTCCATTCCAAATTACATCCAATGAAGAAAGTACAGAAAAAAACAAAAACTCATAGTCGAGAGCTATGTGTCGCTACCCCCTGTCTCCTCTCCATCGCTGTCGTTGTCGCCGTAGCCACCCCTCTCCCACCGCATGCCACCACCCTCGCTCCCACCTCGTGTCGTCGCCACTCCCTTTGCCCCAGCTTCCAACTACTACACTAGTTTTTTTACATGACTGGATGAGAAAGAATTTGGGATAGTATTGTTTGTGTTATTAGGGGCATTTTTGTTAGTTCGGCACATAAATTCATTTTTTATTTTCTTTTTCTAGATGAAATCTTAATGGTGTTTCGAAACAGGGTAAAATGACAACTCCGATTTTAAAAAAATAGATCAAATGAGCAAACTTTAAAAAATAGATATCTGACTAGTAGTTGATATATATATATTATGCTGATGTCAGCATGGCATCAACACATATTAGCTATTCCATTGGAATGGTAAACCATTTTGTAGTCTCCCTTCTTCAGAATAGGGTTAAATAAGCAATTGTCTCTTTAAAATTTAGACTTTTATAGCATTAATTTTTTAGAGTAAATTGTATTCAAGGTTAAAAAAAAACTTGGTAGATGGATGTATGCTAATGCAGGAACTTCAAAACTGAGGAAACCGGTGCACCAACTTGGCTAGATGGTACCTTTTTGTTTTATCAAAGTGAATGCCACATGAAATTTTTGGCCACCTAAGTAAGACATGTCATTCATGTAACATGTTTTTGCTGCTTCTTTCGAATGACAGATAAACTGAAGGTCCATTTTAGCAAACATCCCCAGTTCGATGGTAACAGTATCAAATCAAAAGCTCTATAAGTCAAGATTTAGCGTTGATAGATCATACAGGGCACTGTAATCTCTTGATTGATTCGTGAATTAATTCATAGTTATAATATCAATTGAACAATGAAGCATGACTGTAAAAAATTAACCAGCATGATCTAAACAGCTTTGGCCGTGTACATCCAGTTAGATAGATGTAGAGGACGGATTTTTAATCTATTATCTTAAAAAAAATGATCTAAACGGCTAACGCTTGCTTTGAGAAGCCTAGCACGATCGTCGCCCACCACCATCTCTAACGCATCCAATTGACAAGTTCTTGCCCCATGTGTGCAATTTGCTCATCTTTTTATCTCGGATCCTATAGCAGGCGAGAACTGGAGATCACTTCAGTGAGGCGGACAAGATCTTACTCGAATTTGCATTGTGTAAATGATCCTGATTACTGGGACTTCAGGTTAGATGGGCCTAAGATATTTCTCATAGAAGTCTCTTTGCGAAACTATTGGGCCTTATGTGGATGGTCAGCCCAGACTGCAAGGCCGGTGTACCTTCTGAGACCCATAATTCCGGGTTGGCTCGACGATGGGAAATACAGAAAAAGTTGTATAAACCACAAAATTAAGGAGGCCCTTGCCCACTTTAGGATTGTTTGCTTTTTGAACTTGTCGTTAAATGTTTAAAATGTTTACCACGCCTTGACAAATCTAACAAAAAGTTGTCACACTTTTTTGAGTAATTAACATGTGGGTTCTAGTTTTGATGGTAGGGAATCTTATTATAGCTATGACTACAACTAAATAGTTGCCAAAGTAAATTAAAATTATTTAGTTTTAGACGTAACAAATTAAAGCTGCAAAAAAAAACATACTCATAATTTCCTAGACTTGTTCAAATGTTGTTCGGACTATATTTGGGCTGGGCTTAAAATGCCGGCTGAAAAGTCCAAACATTGAGCTCAGCCAGACCTGAAAATCATGGAGGCAGTCTTGTAACGGATTTTTTTAAAAAAAATATAGTTTAACTCATAAAAAAAGAGAAATCGTGCATTTAAAGGGATTATTTAGGGTGTGTTTGGCAGTGCAGAATAGGAACCCATCCCTCCTGCACACAAAATGGTGCGGCCTTTTAACACGTGATTAATTAAGTATTAGCTAATTGTTTTAAGAAAATGGATCAAATGATTTTTTAAAGCAACTTTAGTATATAATTTTTTTAAAAAAAATGCACCGTTTAGTAGTTTGAAAAGTGTGTACGCGGAAAACGAGAGATGTGGGTTGGTAAGATGGGGTGTTGAACTCAGCCTTAAGGATGTTTTTATTTTGTGTTTGTAAAAGTTGTGGAACAAATAGGATTGTACAATTATCCTGATTAATGGTCTTATCAACCTAAACGGACTGTTTGCCTTGAAGAATTCACTAACGATGACATATGTTAGTGTAAAAAACTTGTTTTTATTAATATTCAGCACACTTCTCATATACATGTAAACAATGGAGCTTGTTATTATGGAATAAATATCTAAAATAAACATGTGCTGGATTACTGATTTATTTCTGGTTTCATTTTTATAGAAAATAAAGGACATCAACATGGTAAAGATAGTCTTGATTTTAGATATCCATATATATAGCAGATTATTGTTGTTACTTACTCCCCCTATCGCAACATAAATGAATTCTTAACATCCAAGGAAAAGTACAATAGTAAGGGAAAAGGAGCACATCTGTAAATCTCTAAATCTAATTTAAATATTAATTTTCTCTTTTTATTTTTATTTATGTTATATTTATCTACATTTTTTCTCTCCTATACTGGCTCCATACATGCTAGTTTCACGATGTTTTTGTTTTTCCTTTTGAGCGAACGCGCAGGAGCAAGCACGTTAATGGAAAGGTCCAAGCTCAAGCTCGCACGACCTGGCCAGAGAGACCCACTGCTCACACTGAGCGCGACTACGTGCCTGTCTAGGGGAGCTAAATTATGAGAATCAGTTGGTTGGTAGCCAGCTTATGAGAACCTAGAAAGATGAGTTTCCAAGCTTCTGGCTTGTAGTTCATTTCAGGATTCTACAACTGCAGTTTCTTAGAATCTAGATCAAAAGCTGTACTGTTTGGAGAGCTTTTGATTCTGGGAGAAGCTGCAGCAGCTAGAAACTCCCCCAAACAGGACCAACAACAAATTGTCCATTCTTTTTACTCCATGTGTTGAAAAACTAAAAACTAAAGGACCATTGGTTGAACCAATCAGCTAGCGCCATAAGTGCAAGCTTTAGATAAGTAGATAGATTCAAGATTCAACCCATATTTCCCTTTTTCTTGATCGATTACCACTTCTAGCAAACCCTGTATTATTCAATTGCAAAGGAAAAAAAATGAAAAAGTCCAAATACCCCTCTAAACTATGGATAAAAGTCCATCTACCACCCTAAACTTTAAAACCGGGTATCTAACTCCCTGAACTTTGTAAAATCGTTCATATTACCCCTAAGGTGGTTTTGCATATTTTGTAATCTTAAACGAACAACTTTTAATAAATAATATAACTTAATTGTATACCATCAATTGTAAGTCATCAATTTATACTTATACAGTGATGTTGTGCTATTATTATGTTGGAACTTGTTTCTAAGTGAGAGCTAACAAGTGATTAAAAAGAAAGACTGAAGTGGAGATTTTAATATATATGTCCAATGTGTATGTCACGTGATCAAACTCATTCAAGTTATATACAAATCAGATAAAAACCACTACACAAAACCACCTTAGAGGGTAATATGAACGGTTTTGTAAAGTTTAGTGGTTGGATGTCCGATTTAAAAGTTCAATGTGCTATATGGATTTCTATCTAAAGTTGAGGGGGGTATTCGGACTTTTTCAAAGGAAAAACGCAAACACCAAAAGCATTCACGCACCTCTGAATAGTTGTACAATCTACTTATCTAAGTTTAAGTTATAGACTTCATACACATACTTGTATTTATGATTAATTATTATTTTAGTGATATGCGATATACTCGTGGATAGTATTGTATTTTTTTGAAAAAAAATAAAGAATTAGAAAATCAATTCAGGAAACGTGATCATGAAGAATTAGAAAATTATCGCAACTAGTTGCTCTTTAGAACGCAGGCTAAAAAAGTAACTCCATATGTCAATATCTTGTTAATACGATTCTTATGAACTTCATCGGCTTATCCGTAAACAGTGTGATTCACTGAGCTTACGGGCGTGTCGGTACTAGAAACATCTTCATTTTCAGCAACCGTCTGTTCCTTTTTGGATCAATGGGCCAACGTTGCTGGACTAAGCAAGCCGAGGCACAGCGTTGGCGCAATGACTTGGTTTGCCCTGATTGGTCGCGTGACGCGTCCTCATATGCGAAGCAAAGGCAAAGCCTAAGCCCACCGATCGATCGTGTCCACCCCCACCGTTTCGCTCCCACCTCTCTGCCACGCCGGTGCGCAGGCGGGCATGAACCTGACTTCACTTAACCGGCAACGGCCCGCGGCGTCCGTCAACTGCTTACCTCTTGCGGCTGGTATTTGACTTCCGGCTTTTGTTTCCTTGATACTTTACTCTCATCGCTCCCTGCCCATCTCCCACGGCAAGGCACCAGAACTTGCACCTGCATAGATACAGATCATCCAATCGATCACAGCAAGTGCTGAGCCAGCTAATTCTACCGGAAGAAGCACATAGATCATTTCTTCCTGCTGTATAGTGCGTGATACTACTGCGTATTTCTTGTTTATTCAGATCAAGTCAAAACAGCGTTAGTCTAAGCCCTATATAAACGCTCCCTCAAACATTCATTTATCCATCAATTCATTAACGGGTCATCTCCTGCCTTCCCCATTGGTCCGAACAGCTACCGCTAGCACACAAAAGTACAGAATTCCAAACCAAATCCTGTACCAAAACAGGAAGGGCGCAGGCATGCCTCTTCTTATCGTGCAGCCCGTACCCATTTCGACAGGTCCTATTGCCTGCGCTAGCACCGCGCGTCCTGCAGCAGCGGCGCACGATGACGACGGCCACCTTTTCGACGATCTCGTGCTCGGCTACGGCGGCGACGACAAGACGAGCGCCGACGCCGACGATCCAGCGAGGAAGCTCGAGTGGCTCAGGTCGCAGGTCATCGGCGCGGACGCGGAGTTCGCGTCGCCGTTCGGGACCCGCCGCGTCACGTACGCCGATCACACCGCGTCCGGCCGCTGCCTGCGTTTCGTCGAGGACTTCGTGCAGCGCAACGTTCTTCCCTACTACGGTGCGTGCCATTTAGCCATATGGACCAGACTACTCTGCGATTGCATCCGTCGTGAAAATGTAATTAATTAACTCAATGATGGGTTTTTATTAGGGAACACGCATACGGTGGACAGCTACGTGGGCTTGCACACGAGCAAGCTGGCGTCGGAGGCGGCGAAGTACGTGAAGCGCAGCCTGGGAGCCGGGGCGGAGGACGTGCTGCTCTTCTGCGGCACGGGCTGCACCGCGGCCATCAAGCGGCTCCAGGAGGTGACGGGCATGGCCGTGCCACCGACGCTGCGCTCCGTGGCGCTGGACGTCCTGCCGCCGTCGGAGCGGTGGGTCGTCTTCGTGGGGCCGTACGAGCACCACTCCAACCTGCTCACGTGGCGGGAGAGCCTCGCGGAGGTGGTGGAGATCGGGCTGCGCCCGGACGACGGCCACCTTGACCTCGACGCCCTGGAGGCGGCGCTGGCGGCGCCGGAGCGCGCCGGTCGGCCCATGCTGGGATCCTTCTCGGCGTGCAGCAACGTCACCGGCATCCGCACCGACACGCGCGCCGTGGCGCGCCTGCTGCACGGCTACGGCGCGTACGCCTGCTTCGACTTCGCGTGCAGCGCGCCCTACGTCGGCATCGACATGCGGTCCGGCGAGGAGGACGGGTACGACGCCGTCTACCTGAGCCCGCACAAGTTCCTGGGGGGACCGGGAAGCCCCGGCGTCCTGGCGATGGCGAAGCGGCTCTATCGCCTCCGCCGCACCGCGCCGTCCACCAGCGGCGGGGGCACCGTCGTCTACGTCAGCGCATACGGCGACACGGTGTACTGCGAGGACACGGAGGAGCGCGAGGACGCCGGCACGCCGGCGATCATACAGAAGGTCCGGGCCGCGCTGGCGTTCCGGGTGAAGGAGTGGGTCGGCGAGGCGTGCATCGAGGCGCGCGAGGACCACATGCTCGCCCTTGCTCTCCGCCGGATGCAAGCGTCTCCAAACCTGCGGCTGCTGCTCGGCGGCGACCGGCCCAGCGGAGGGCGCTGTCTCCCCGTTCTCTCCTTCGTGGTGTACTCACCGCGCGACGGCTCCGAGCAGGATGAGCGGCCGCAGCTGCACTGCCGGTTCGTGACGAAGCTGCTCAACGACCTGTTCGGCGTGCAGGCGCGCGGGGGATGCTCCTGCGCGGGGCCCTACGGCCACCGCCTCCTCGGCATCACGCCGGCGCGAGCCAAGGCCATCAAATCCGCCGTCGAGAAGGGCTACCACGGCGTGCGCCCCGGGTGGACGCGCGTCAGCCTGGCCTACTACACGTCGACGCGGGAGGCGGAGTTCGTGCTGGACGCCATCGACTTCGTCGCCAGTTTCGGCCACCGGTTTCTGCCGCTCTACGCTTTCGACTGGGAAACCGGGGACTGGGAGTACAACCACAGCTTCGGTCGTGTCCTGGCAAACAACAACGCCATCAGCAATGCTGCCGCTGCTGCTTCTAGTGGACGGGTCAAAGCAGAGGACGAGTACCGGAGCTACATGGCATTTGCACGGAGCCTAGCCGACTCCTTGGGCGGATGTCTGGATAACACTCCTGCTAGACACGTTCCCAAGGGCATCGACCCACAGTTGCTTTACTTCCCTATGTGAGATCGGATAGTTGGATTCTTTGTTGTTGAATTTTACCCTTGGTTTTTGGCCGAAAACCTGGAGAGATGCTTCTTTTGTGCCGAAACTTCCCAAAAAGAAACAGCCGCAAGTCCACAACCACGGCAATAAACAAAGGTAAACAAAGGGTTAATTGGTTAGCTACTGTGGGCTGAATGCCCATGCGTCGGCTCGGCCGTCTCAAACCCGAAGAGAAAAGAAGTCGTCAAGCCGTCGACTTGTTCGGTTGTTTGCCTTGCCCACCGAGCCTCCCGCAGCTGTCTCGCTCGCGGTTTTTCTACTCCATCTCGCCTCCGCGGCTCCGCCTCGCGTCGCTCGCCATGGGCAAGTCCAGATCCGGGGTGCTGCTGGCGCTGCTCCTGGTCTGCGCCGCGGTGGCGGCGGCGGCGGCTGCTGCCGTACCGGGCAGCAAGGGGAAGGGCGGGGCGGGTCGGGCGGAGGTGGCGTGCTCGGATCTGGCGACGCGGGGGGAGTGCGTGGCGAGCGGCGGCGGGAGCAGGTGCCGGTGGTGCCGCAGCGAGGCGCTCGATGACATGTGCTTTGGGGCCGCCGAGGCGTGGAGGCTGCCCAACCAGGTGTTCTCTTGCGACCCGCCCGCCGGCGGCGTCGCCCACGCCCGGAGATGACGATGCAGCCTAGGCGGCCACTGCTGTCGTCTTGCTCGCGATTAATCTGTTGTACCCTCTCCCCCTCTGTTCTCGTTGGATTTGAGAATTTAAGAACTACTGTTTCCTGGTGTTAAGTACTCCAGATCCTTGGATGCCACATAGACGATTTTCCACTCTACTTTTCTGTAATGTATGTTTTGATCAGAAATCTGCCGATCGATTTTATTGATTGTTGATGCTTGATACCGACTCTTTCAAGATTTGCAATTTGAGTTGAGTAATCTGCGACAAAATTTGAGTTGCCAAGACAAATAGGAACTGACGAAAGATTTAATCTTTCTTTATCGTCCCTCAAATCGCCGTACTCTCGCTACGCGAATTGCCGTCGTGCTTGAATTATCAGCAACACCGAGCTCCTCCCTCTATTTTTCACTCATCTCACACGGATCAATACAAAACTAAAAAGACTATAATATTCAAACTTCATCAAATTTTAATGTAATTATTTTTACTTTATCTACTTCCAATTGAATTATTTTATATTTTCATAAATTTCGATACAAATGACTATTTACAAATAAATTTACTTTAGAATAAATAGGAGGAAAAAATAAATTTATTATTAAACGGGAGAAGTAATAAGGAAGAGTACCCTTCTGCACATTCGTGTGCTGCACCTGGTAGGAATGATTATTGATTTTCCAACAAGTAAAATGCGAATACATGTTGTACATAGGAACGAGAAAATAGTATAAGCGGGTACCATGGTCTACTGGTCTGTTTGGAGCTCCATCCAAAGTAGGAGAAACCATGGTTGAAAGTACTCTTATGAAATAACTACAAAGAGAATGAAGTTGGTTTTAAGCTGTTCTATAACTCCAATTCACCAGTTTTTGAAGCGAGCCTCAGTGTTTGGCTTATTCTTATACTTGTAAACTAAAATTTAAATTTTAAAAAATAATTTTGAATTTGGTTTTTTATTTTTTTAATCATAGTTTATTTAACAACATTTGCTCTTGAGTCGCTAAGATACGTAAATGATATTTTGTTTATTAATAAGCGATTCGGATAATCATATGAAAAAGCAAAACAATGAGACTATAAATTTAAAATTTAGAACCCTACCAAATACATCCAACAAATTGTCAGCGACTTGAAAATTGGGCCTATTGTGAAACATCAACGGCGCAGGTGGCATGTAAAATCACCTGCAAATTATGGCGTCTCACTGTCACCAAGTGTCCCGAGGTTGAATTGTTCGTGGCAAATGGCATCCCAATTTCCAGAAAGGACCGACTATAGCGAATTGGGCCACCATCTGAACTAGGTGCAATAAGTTTATCTTAGGTCCCTTACTATCTCCAAGTCTAAGATCTAACCCTGAGCCACTACCATGTATGAAGCATTCCTCAACTTTTGAAACTAGTGAAATAAGATCCCATGACGATTTGAACAACGATTTGAACAACGATTTCGGCTGATGTGCCATTGACATAGCACTTAAGTAAATAAAAAAAAACCATGAAACCAACATGTAAATGAGTGTCCGGTTATAAATAAAAAAATTATAGTGAGACCCACGTCATCACCCCTATGTTTTTCCTCTTCTCTTCATTTCCTCGTCATCATCGGCCCACAAATTCAAGGCGGGTGATGGGCAGTGTGAAGAGGGGTGACAACTGATGGGTTGTTGGCAGGAGGCGAGCGGCAAAAGGTCGAGCCACAGAGATAGTCATGACCTCATTAGAGGACCTTACATGAACGAGGCAGTGAACATGAGGACAACAATGACCATGACGATGGCCCGCATATGATACCAGCCCACCGACCTAGAAGGAGAGGAATCTAGGTTAGTACTCTGTATCACCTCGATCCATGATATAATGTCGTCGCAAGCCCACCCTTGCTACCACTATTGAGATCCGGGATGGTCGCAGCGGCGCCGACGCATGCCCCGACACTACTCGCTGCTCCTCCCGTTCGTGCACCGCGTGTTCTAGGCGGCAGGTACTGTGTCTTGTGCGCCGCCACGGGAGGAGGAAGGTGCGGGCGGACAAGACCGATGTCGACGGCAAGGCGAGGTCATTGATGGCGACCGGCTTCACCCCAAGCTCGCCACTGCCGCCTTTTCACCGACCAGTTCCACTGTTCCTGCTGCTCGTCGCTGTCACCTTTCCGCCACTAGCGCCTTTCTGCTGATGAGATAGCGAGCTCGAGCTTGCTGGCCAGTCAGCGTCGTTGCCACCCAGCTCCTCTTCGTCAGCACCGTTGCCGCCTATCTCCTCTCCGCTACCCTTCTCCCTGCCGGGCACCGCTCATGTTGCCTTCTCCCGTCGGCCGAACACCCTGGAAAGAGATGGAGGAGAGATGGGAGCCCCTCTCCCATCTCTGACATGGGAGAAAGAAGCTGTGGTTTCACTGACATGGGAGGCACACATGTTTATTTTAATTTTCATTTTTGTCTTCGGTGCCACGTCAACGCTATGTCAGCTAAAACCGCTTACAATACTGCCTTGAGACTATATTTGTACTGGTTTTGCAAGTTGACAGACGTGCTGTATCTGGTATTGCTGTTTGAGAATGTAATTCGAACTCGATGTCAAGTTGAGGGACCTAAGTGAACTTATTCCGAACTAGGTTGTGCAGTCCGTGCAGGGGATGGCGAGATCGACAGCTTTAAGGTCCCAATGTACTTGAGGCTCCCATCAAAACGGAAATAAGTCCACTTGATGTTTCTCATCTTTACGTTATGTTTAATTGACATCCCTAAACCGCAATACCATAAATTTTCACTCTCATCCTAACAAAATCGTTCGAGTCAGGTTCCATGATGGATAGTTGGTTTAACTAACGTTAAATTAAAAACATGTAGGGTCCACATGTAAGTGAGAGGTCACTTCTTTATTACATCTTTTTCCTCAACCATACAGGCCATTCGAAGGTCGTTGTTCTTCTTAACCTGGTGCCATTGTACAAGCTAGGCCGCACTGTCTTCTCCTGTTCCTTCAGGGCTCTTCTTTCACGATGCTAAGAGAAGTCTGAATGTCTAATGATGACGCATTGTTTCTTTGACATGTCACTGCCACTGCCGCCGCCACCATCACCGCATTTGTAGATGACCTAGATGTAAAGGTGTAAGTGGTTAATCGGGTGAACCCACTTATAGGCCAAAATAAGCAGTGCCACTTACACCCCTACCTAGATGCCCTTCACCATGAGCCATGTAGCGAGTTCAATGTTTTGATGGATCTCGGCTCATTCTTATCCTTTCGTTCTCTCTCCTCACTTGAACAGTGCAAGAGAGCTCTCGAGTTGTTTCTTTCCTTTGTTTATCAGGCCCTATGTCCTGTTCATCTTCGGTGACCGTGGGTTGCCGGCGAGGAGAAAAGGGGGGGGGGGGAGGGGAGGGGTTCCGGGGAGTGGTCGGGCTTGTTCCGGTGTCAGGGTTTTTTTCTTGTAGTTTGTGCAGTTCGAGGGAGGAAGTAAGTGTCGTCATCCTTCAGCCCGAAGGTTTTTAGCCAGGGATGGAGTTGCTGAAACTTGTTTCAGTAGTCCCTATTCCAGCGGTAGTCATTGCGTAAGTAGTAGACGCCCTTCTCTTCAGTGTGTGCAGCTTCGAGTTCTCCAGATTTGCATGTGAAGAGGTTGTACTGGTCGTCAAACTCTCTCCGGCGACCACACACAAAAGAATAGTGTTCTCTTCCTTTGTCTTTGGTTTTGGATCTTCTAGGGGCAGTTGTGGTCTGCTTGTTTCGCTAAGGTAGCTTCAACCTTCACCGTGGAGGCTCCAACAAGGCTTGCTCCTCGACTCTCGTTTTTGCAGCTCGCCATGAAATCATTCTCCCCATCACTGCCTGCATAAGATGGCTCGCCGTTTATGTGGAAGAAGCACAAGGACCTAATTGCTTTTTAAGTTTTTTTTAGATCTTTTTCAGCATATTTTGCATCGTAATGTTAATTTACCCATTTCTCAAAGGCTTTTCTGTAATCGGAAAGTTCTCCGTGTTAACTTGTCTCATGTACACTTTGTACTTTACTTTAAATAAATAAAGTACATGAGTTTAAAGAAAAAAACATAATCCCCAACACGGCAACACACGCTCCGCCAAGTGCTTGTTCCTTCCCCCTTCGTCAATTGACCCTGCCCTGCGGCGTCCCCACTGACTGCCGCCGGCCGTGCCGCTCCCCACGTTGGTCGTCGCTGTGCACGCACAGCGTCAGGTTCATGCAGCGCAACAGTGTACGTCGCCCCGTGTGGCGTGTACCACTTCGCTGGCCCAAGTGACCAGACAAACAGGCCGCGGCATGCGGCGATGGGTCGGTCAGGCGAAGGCTACTGAACCGGCCGGCAGATGCTGCGTCCACAGTCCTCGCCAGTCGCCACTGTTTAGCGCGCTCGCTCACTCGCTCACCTTCCCCTTTCGCGCTTCGCTGTTCGTGCGGCTGGTGCTGCCCCTGCCACTGGTGCCTGGCCGGAAACGTCTTTTTGTGCGTGTACGTTTGCTTGGCGGAGCATTTGTTGGCCGGCAGGCGATAGAGCGCGAGAAGAGAAGAGAAATGAACATGCGGGTCTGTTCCGTGTAGGCGTGTACTACTAATTAATGATTATCTGCAGATTAATTAGCGCTTGAACACACAGCTACTCGTACTTAGTTCTAGACAGAAGTAGTAGTACATCGTACAGTGAGACAAAAGCTACACGTACTAATTCAAAGAAACCAGACAGGCCACGACCAAGCAGGCATGGCCGAGAAGCCGAAACGGGTAACCGTCCACGGAACCCCTCACCGTTGCTGCTGCCCCCGTAACTCCTCCGGGCGCCAACGGGCCATCACCGCCGCCGCCGGCGTGGCAGGCGCCGACGCCGACGCCGACGCCCCGCACGACCATCCGGTCATCCAGGCACAGCCCCGCGTTGCCGCTCAGGTCGAGGTTCTGGCCGAGCCGCCGCAAGAACGCGCCGTCGAAAGGCACGGCGCCGCCCAGCCCATTGTTGCTCAGGTTCAGGTGATACATCCTTGTCAGCCTGGTCAGCACCGGAGGGATTTCTCCGGTGAGGTTGTTGTCTTCGAGTGACAGCGTCGTCAAGCTCGCCAGCTGACCAAACGCCGCGGGTATCTGTCCCGAGTAGCCGGAGCCGGCCAGCCGGAGTTCTTGAAGACGAGGGAGACCACCGAGCTCGGAAGGTAAGGGGACATTCATTGGGTTGTTGTCCATGATCAAGCACTGGAGGTTTCGGAGGCCGGAGAGTCCAGGAGGGAAGTGACCACTCAGGCCATTGCTGCTCAGCGCCAAGAAGGTAAGCGAGCTCAGGTTGGCGATGCTGACCGGGATGCCGCCGGTGAGATTGTTGGAGCTCAGGTCCAGCTTCTGCAGCTGCCGCAGCTCACCGATCCGGCTCGGGATGGCGCCGGACAGCGAGTTGTAGCTCAGGTCCAGACCGACCAAGCTCTTCAGCTCGCTGATCTCGCTCGGCACCGGCCCGGTGAGCGAGTTGTAGCTGAGGTCGAGGTGCACCAGCGACGTGAGCTCGCCGATGCCCTGCGGGATCTCGCCGCGGATCAATCCGTTCTGGGAGATGGTGAGCACCTGGAGCGACCTGAGCGTTGCCAGCTGCGGCGGCATCACGCCGGACAGGGACGGGTTGGCCCTGATGCTGAGCTGCTGCAGGCTGGAGGTCGAGAGGTTGGCGGCGGGCGGCAGGACGAGGGACGTGTTGGCCGCCGGGTTCTTGAAGCAGCCGACGAAGAAGAGGGACTGGAGGTGGGGCAGGGAGGAGAACACCAGCGGCGGGAACGCGGCCGTGTCCTTGCACGACGGGTTGGGCTCCACGCCGAAGTCGAGCCGCGTGACGCGCAGCAGCGCCGCCGCGGCGTCGCCGGCTGCCGGCTTGCACTCCAGCCCCGGCCACGGCGCGCCGCAAGGGTCGGGGCTCTCGGAGCGCCAGTCCCGGTCAGACGAGACCGCCTCCATGACGAGGAACAGCGCCTCCCTCTCCGCCGGGTCCATGGACGCCGCCGCCGCGGCCACGGACAGGAGGCACACGAACACAGCGACGGAGGCTGCCATCCCTTGGCTTGCCCTGCGCCGGTGGACCAGTAGGGTGGGTTTTGGTGGGGTTTAAGAGGAGACCTCGCTCGTGCGCCCGCCGGTAGCAGTTGGTGCTGTGATTGACGGGACGAGAGGCACTGAGACCAGGGGGGCCCCTTCCCGGACATGGAAGCAGAACGGTGCAGAGCCACGCAAGCCTCCCACGCGGGCTTGGATGGCGCGGAAAAATCTCGGCCGTTACACTGTTTTCCGACGAGCTACTACTCCATTACACCCACGCCGAGTTCGGAGTCCAACGTCTGCACTGGGCAACGCTAAGCTAACTAGACGAGTGCAGTTAAAGTGCTGCCTGCGCAGAAGGGGGCACCAGTGCATAGTGGCATTGTGCACACAGTTTGCACGTCGTATTTTCCACAGGAACCGTAAATAGCAATGCGGTCCCAGATACAGGATGACAGATAGTGCAAGTACGTAATTTGACTGTCCTGGCAGTGACTAAAAAACTGCTGGCAAGAAAATTGATTTAGGCGCATGTCCTATGCGCTATGCCACTCATTTAGCCCCAGCTCCCTTCGTACGGAACTACTCCCTCCGTCAAAAAAAAGACAAAACCTGATTTCCGTGTCCAACGTTTGACCGTTCGTCTTATTTGAAAAAAATATAAAAAAAATTAAAAAGATAAGTCACGCATGAAATATTAATCATGTTTTATCATCTAGCAACAATGAAAAATTTCATATAAGACAAACAGTCAAAGTTGGGCACGGAAACCCAAGGTTTACCTTTTTTTTGGGACGGAGGGAGTACTAGGATTACTACTATGATCCAAAACAATTCCTGGAGAAGAGTAGAAAGTTACAGAAAAAAAGAAACACAAAAGGCCACGCGGAGAAAAAATCTCAAAATACATTGTCGACTGACCAAGGAGGCCACAAAAAGTGAGTTCGCCTGACCAGAATAGGTACTCCCTCCGTCCCACGATATAAGGGATTTTGAGTTTTTGTTTGCAACGTTTGACTACTCGTCTTATTCAAATTTTTTTTTTCAAATATAAAAAACGAAAAGTTATGCTTAAAGTACTGTAGATAATAAAGTAAGTCACAAATAAAATAAATAATAATTTCAAAAATTTTTGAATAAAACGAGTGGTCAAACGTTACAAGCAAAAACTCAAAATCCTTTATATTATATTATGGGACGGAGGGAGTCCTCAATGCATCCCTCCAAGAGTTCCGAGTACACATTCAGGTGTGGAACGTGACAACACCTCCCAGCTGACTGCTGACTTGACAAAAGACGCCCAACCATCCCAATAGGAAAGACGGGCACGACCACACGCCGCATAGCAGCAGCAGGTTGAGATGACTGATCAAATTCAGATTCTCCATAAAGGCAGGCACCATGTGATGCTTTGCCAGAACGATGGGTTTTGAGCCTGCGACAGCATCACCTCACGATCATGGGCAAGCCCCATCACCCATACACGGATGCACCTTACTACTAGTCCCATTGTTTGGGGATGGCACGAGCAAAACGCATCTCATTCTATCATTCTACAATCAAGTACCCAATCACACGCTCACAGATTTTACTAGCAGTACAAGAAACCGAACTATGGATATACCAGAAGGATTGACACAGATAACTACATCCACAAATGTTTATCCGCTCAAATATGATCTCTAAGACCGGAATTTATACTTCCATTTCACATGGCAGCAGCATGTAAGAACATTGCCATCAACCAGTCATTTCTCCATAATAAGTTATAATAACGGAGGCTGAACAAAAGAAGTCATAAAAAAGTATTCAAGAGCGCCAACTTACTAGCAACTGCTGCATCAGAACAGCCAATATACCACCAGTTGAGATATTTAGTACATTGACAACATCATTGGTGAGCTGCACATGACCACATAAGAATGTTAGTTGTGGGAAAACTTCTCTATATACAAAGTAAAGTACATAGTAGCTTCTTTTTTTTTTGTGAACCCTACAGGTCAAACCAAATATCAGCTTATTATACACCACTGTAAAGACAGGTTTCCTGGTATTATTCAGGTGAAAAAGATTGGAAAGAATTCTAATAAGTGAAATGTCCCCAGACTACTGCATGTCTAAAAACAAAAGTCAATAGTGATGTTCAGTGTCTTGGATGCTGCTGGAGTTAATTTCTATTCTGATGCCCTTTTTCTCAATGAGCCAAGGATATAAAATTAGCGAATTCTGCCATCTACTTGTCAACAAGAAGCATCAATGTTTATTCTTTAGCGGAAGGTCACGTAGTCTAGTGGTTGCAGTAACCTGAGTAGCACCCCAAGATCATGAGTTCAAATCTCCATAGGAGCAAATTTCATATTGGTTTGTTTGATGGACTAAGTTCCCAATTTAAAAATACTACATATATTTGGTTGGATGTAGAGGCCAGCTAAAAAATACACTTCTCTAAGAAAATATCAATACCCACAGATTAGAAAAAAGAACGACATAATGGCATATCTGTTATGGCATGTGCTGAAAAGGTGAAAAAAAATTACCCACCACTATGTAGATATAATAAGTAGACTAAGGGCACCCGCAATGGTTATCTATAGGCTCTCTACAAGAGATCCATGTCAACATATTTTCTTACTTGGAAGATATTAAATGAAGAGAGAGAGCAAAACTATCTACTAACCTGGAGATAGTCTATAGAGAAAAACGAGGCAATGCATTAGAGAGCTATAGATACCGATGTAGACATAATATTAAGGTGATTTACTATTAATCTAGTCTATTGCTGAGATGTACATGTTTTATAGAGAGCAACTTACTTTACCATTGCGGGTGCTCTAACAGACAGAAATCACATGGTGACAGTTGCATGGTCCCATATAATGAAAACGTCCATCACTCATTTATGCTGTAAATGATCTAGTGATACACGATAGAGAACAGAGAAAGATGAGCATGGAGGACATGAATCGGTTATATTAAAACCTGCCCCCAATTGAACCTCCCACAACGATTTGGAGTCACGTGTTCGATCGCCGCGCTATCCACGTCGCCCCGCGCGCTGGAAGGCGGAGAGGTTTTTCGAGCTGGAAATTTTTCAAAAAAGACCTTGGTTTTATATATAATTTGTAATAGATCCCTCACTATATGTTTCTATGTTCTGTATTCTTATGTAAAAGCCCTCCACAACCTACTATATATTATACGAAGAAGGAAAAAATGGGAAAATAGGGCTGCGCTCTGATAAACGAAAAGTGAGGGGTTTTTCTGAAAAAACAAAAATCCCTACCCACCCCACCCCACCCGAAACCCTAGCTGCCACTGTTCCCTACCTTTCCCCTCTCCTTCTCTCGCTCTCTCCTCTTTCCTTGCGACGGGCGACAGCCGCGTCTTTCCCTCCACCTGGCTTGCTTCTCCTCGTCGGCGATGATCTCTCCCACACCACAACACGCCATCCTCTGCTTCCCGCTGTCTCATCGCCCCTCTCCCACTCCGTCGCAGCGTCGCTGCCCCGACCCGAGGATGCACCACCTTCAGATCTGGCGGTGGCTAGGGTTTGGCTTGGAGTGGTGGCTTGCAGCAGGCCGGACGCGGGTGCGCAGCGGCGGTGCAGCAGCTGGCGCAGTCGCAGCATGCGCAAGGCAGCAGGTCGCCGGTGGGGACGCGCGGAGGCAGCGTCGACGCGCAGCGTGCGGGCGCAGCAGCAGCTAGCAACAGCCCAGTGCACGGGCGCATGGTCGCGTCCTGGTCTGCTACTGCTACTGCTACTCTACTCAAGTGCTCACATGCTATTTCTAATCAGCTAATGGCACTAATAAGTGAGCATTCCCTATTTCTCTGTAGCATTTAGGTAGACTCTGGACTCTAATCTATTTATCTTTTGAATGAGAAACAGAGCCTTCTATTTAATAGTTTTTTATTTACTGATAAACTTGCAAGAGAGAAGAAAACAACATTGTTTAACTACTTTACAAACCCAATTGATGAGAGCACAAACCAACCAACAAGATTCGAATAGATTTTGATCCTAATGAAATTCTTTTCAGCACGATGAATGACAATGGAGGATATGTTGGTGGATGCAGTTACATTTGTTTCTTTGGTTTAAGATTTGTTTTCTGTTGATTTGTCACTAATTTGCTACTTTGCATATATAGCTGGCTGCTCACTTGACTTTTGGCTAAGGCCTAAAAGAATGCACTTTGTGCTGGCAAAGTACTCCTTTTTTTTCTTTTCTATCATGTGAACATTTAATTTGACTTGTAAGAGGAAGGGGAAAAGAAGGGAGTAAGAGGCAGTTTGGTCTCAGAAGAATGCACTTTTTTCTTTACCCTGCCTCTTACGGTTTGTGGCTGCAATGGCTAGCAGTGTATCTGGTTCAAGAAGTCTTGTCGACGTTGTTGCATTCTTCTGATGACCACACTGGATCTGGTCATTTGTTGCATGATAGAGGATCCATCACGGTGTATTCATGTAGTCATTATCTCCATGCTTTCCTTCATGCTCAGTGAATGGAGACTGAAGACTGAAAACTGGTTGGTGCTCTTGCAGGTGAGATTGAAGATATAAAATTGGTCGGGGCTCTGGTAAGCTTTGTAATGGAGAAATTTTGCAGCTCTAGCTGTTTGTTTCATAGCTTCTCAAATTGCTGGGAAAAGGTAGAGATGAAAACATGGTGGCTAGAGCTAGTGTGGACCAATGATGGCACTTGGAGCTGGGTAAGGACCATTGATGATACTAGAATTTAGAGATGTGTTTGCACATGCTATACTCTACATGTTTTATATTTCCATTGCCTTTTTTCCTTTTCTTTTTTCATTTCTTCTTGAAGGTATTGGATCAGAGAGAGCCAACTTAGGTTTTAGTGTACCTTTATATTGGTAAAGTCACTTGGTTATTCAATCTAGGTCCAGAGTTCGGAATCTGAACTACACCTTATCTTGGCTGTATAATTAATGGGCCCCGGTGAGTAAATCATTGAGTTCTGTCCCGTGACTAAAGCGATGCAGAGTATAAGAAATTCAGAATAAAAAATTCAGAAATTCCAGTCATAAATTCAGAATCAGAAATTCAGAAATTCCTAACCTCGAGACATGGTCAAAACTAATTAACAAGTTTTAAGGAATCAGTGTTGAGGTTGTGTTCTGCTCTTAATGTTTGTTTTAATCCATTTTTGCAGTACCTGCGTGACTATTCCATATTTTCTGCTACTGGATAGAGGCCTTTGCAGAGTACCTCCGTCGGTATGGAAGAAAATGTATTGTTACCGAGTTATACGGAGTATTTGTTATTCCATTGGATATACGGAGTACAACTTATCTGTGACTGTGACGACATGTGCATAAGTTGGTTTAAAACTTTAAATGGGCTTCCCTGAAGACATCGTGAGGAGTGCTCTGAAGATTGTCGACGGGGACGAGAACATGATGGTGTGAATTGAGGTTAACAATATGATGGTTCCAAGAGCTTTTTCTTTGTGATTCTTTAGCCAGCTGATAGGGCGTGCAACGCGCGCGGTAATGTCTAGTATAGTTAAAGCATACATGAAATAAGGTCCTATTAGAAAATTTTCATCATAGCATTCAACCTATAGGCCTCCAATGTTACGTCATTGAAATGCAAGCTAATTCAGGAAATGAAACAAGGTACTGTCTTCAACAAGAAGAAAATTTAGGACACAAACAAAAGACAAATTCAGTTTACATGGAAAACTCTAAAAGGAGTACTTAATCAGCTGAAAGTGGAAACTCACCCATTCAAAACCTTCTTTATCTTGTAGTGTGGCACCAATATAACTCTCACAAAAATTTGCAATCTGGGATGCAAGGACACATACTGCGCCTTGTGATACATTAACCTGCGATAAAATGCATGGTTTTATTTTTTTCAATAATCATACGAGTGTATTGGAGCAAACGGTAAGGACTATATATTCACTGATCACTGTCATTTCCATATAAGTTCTGTGACAATTCAGTGCTAAATCTGTAGGTTTTCCAAAATATCTGCTGTTCTGCAAAGTTTACTGTATAAATAATTTACCTGCCCCAGGAGATAACCAACACTTGCAAGAATTATCGATGCAAGAATTCCAGCTAGAGTACCCTCAATACTGATCGCACCTTCTGTACCTCGCGGAACAACCTTAAGTGTTGTCACCAGGTACCTACTCTACAAAAAGACCAAAACTGAGCTCTAAGTACAGTTCATTGAGTTCACTAAGAGTGCACAAATATATACACAAGTTTATGGATGTGGAACCATGAATTATTTGAAGGCTGTGTAGTGACAGGAATCTTACGTTGTTCTTCCGTAGGCCTTCCCTATTTCACTGGAAACTGTGTCACTTAGTTTAGTACAATAACTAGCAACGAAGCCAAGTCTCCAGAGCTCAGCCAACGCTGCACTGCCTACATTGTAGATTGATAGCAGAGCACAGACACAACCAGCAGCACTGGAACCAATAACACTTCCAGTCCCTCTCCTTCCTCCTCTTTTCTCCGCCACCCCCAAAGCTTCTTTCTGCTTTATTTTCAACTTAGTTGCTGCTGTGCCCTGCACCCAAAAGTTTAAAAACTGATGACCCACTATGACCCAAACTTTAGATATATAAACATAAGAACTTTGTTTAGCTGGTTTTGTCACTTAGCATGGGCAACCTAAGGAAGTCATGTCACTATTCAGTCATGAACCAATGAACCCACAAATCATTTAATTCAGGTTGGTCACTGATTCTCAAGAGCAAGTGCAACTGCATCCATACCCTGCAAAAACTTGATTTATTTCAACTGAACCTTTAAAAAACTGAAATACAGGGTGGCGATTCTCCAGTCCCCTCTAGAAGAAAATCATACTGCAGGATAATCCGCATGCGTATTAAAGTCATAGAAAAGCATTTACAACAATTCAGAAAGTAATACTTACTCTATCCTACTTTAGCAAGTGCAAATTGCAATTCAAGTGTTTTTCTAGTGGACTACCTCAGCATTCTTAGAAAACATAGTGGGAAAAAGGGGGAATTGCTTTCCCAAAAATATAACCATACATCCAATAACCATAGATTCGTCAGCACACTCTGGGAGCAGATGAGTACTTGAGCAGTACCACAAAGTTAAATTAGGAAGTTTTAGCACTTATTTAATTTCCCACTAGATGAGATCATCACGCCCAGATTTCTTTATAAGAAGCATGCAGAATGGCACAATGGCTGGCACATTTCTTTCACTATGTGAGAGACCATCGCCATATTCAAGAATTGTTTGGAGCCCCTACTAGGAAGCACTAGTCTCTCATACCTACTATATAGATTCAGAACGCTCAAAAGTTCAGTACTTTGTTTCTAATCTCAAAAGTACAGTATTGGTGCCACTCAAAAGGCTGATTCATCTAAAACATAATGAAAAGAACAAATTACTCCATTTTGTTACTTATCCTATGAGCAAAGCTAGTTCATGGATCTAACATTGGAATTATCAGTCACGTTCTCATAGGCCATTACAAGTTCAATCTAGGACTACAAAATAAGGAGCACCAAACCACAACAATCCCACAATCACTAATCTCCAAACAAACTACAATGCGTTAGTGTAGCTTAATTCCATACTTATCACTGAACCACCTCTACGAACAGCCAAACTGTCAATGCAGCACCGGATCCACTCACCAATACGAAGTAGGAGGCGACGAGGACGAGCCCCTTGGGCCCGAAGGCGCGCCACGTGAGGGTGCCGAGGAGGTACGCGGCGGCGAAACCGGAGGCGGAGAGGCCAGACAGGAGCACCGGGGAGCCGGCGACGAAGATGGCGAGGTTGCTCACGGCGGCCGACCTCCACGTCGGAGGCGACGCCAGGAAGGCGTCGGCGAGCGCGCCACGGAGCGCCTCCGCCGCCCCCACAGCGGTGTCCGGCAGCGCGCGCGGTGGGGAAACGGGGACTCGGGGCGCAACCCTAGGACCGCGAGGGAGCAGAGCCGAGCGGGAGGAGGGGAGGAGGAGACGAGGCGGAGGGGAAACGGGAGCGAGCGGCGGCAGGAGAGAGCACGCCATTGTCGCCTCCAAGTCCTCGCCCCGATGCTACCGACTCCGCGACTGTGACTGCGAGAATTGAGAACTCGAAGCAGCCAAGCATGACCGGCCGCCTGTGTGTTTCTGAAATACGCCTTCCACACTAGTATGCTTGGTTCATTGAAATACGCTTTCTCTTTGGGTTTTCGGGCTTTCAGTTTCAGGGCTCGTCTCCGTCCTTAAAGACCGGGGAGATATATAGCCAGGCCTTCCCTTCTTCTCCGCCGACCGCCGCCGCCAGGCGTTCTCCGTAAGCCCCAAACCCTAACAGCTCTCGCAGTCTCGGGTGCGAATCTGCCCGCGTTTCTTCTCGAACTTCTTCTCTTTCTGCCAGACTTTTCTCTCCTTATCGCTAATCTGATGTGTGTTCATTGCTTTAATTCGGAAAAGAAGGGATGCTTTGTGCTGTCCTGCCAAGTGATGCTGGGATTATTGCGCAAGGGCTTTGAGCAATTCATGGCTTGTTTCTGCCTGATGCGATGAGATTAAAGTTATGTGTTTTCCCTTTTGATGGCAGCAGCTCGTTTCTCCCTTGGATCCGTCGAATTGTGAACTTGTCTTTGAGTTTCTTTTCGAGTTTTGCTTCGTAGGGTTGGGGTTTTGTATTGTTGGGTGAGGCGGTGATGTCAAAACAATTTTTGAGTTGCCAAGTGATGCTGGGATTATTGCGCAAGGGCTTTGAGCATCATAGGCAGTTGTGGCCTAAATGCGGTGAGATAAACGATTTGTTTTCCCTTCTGATGGCAACTTACTTACTAGTAACTTCAGGAATAAACTGCCTTGCTCAGTACAAACGTAGATGCAGTGCTATGTCGGTAATTTGCATTCGTTTTATGCTATATCCATAATGCATATTGAGGCAGAGGCAGTAATGTTTGCCCTACCTTTAATTTTAAGAAAAAGAGTAATATTTGTTATGTTTGACATCAAATGTTACTTACTAGTACTATCATTAGTAGCACTGCAAACGTTTATTCAACTAGACCGCCTAAGCTCAGTATTGATCTGATAAGAATGGCATAACAGATGGGCTTGACTTATGCTAGCATGCTAAAACCAATAGATACCATACACCTTAGAATTTGGACAGTTTCTGATTCTAGAAATCAAATTGGACAGTTTCTGATTCTAGATCCTTTATTCAGCATCTTGAGCAGTACTGTAATGCAGACCTACATAAAAAATTGCCCATATCAGTAGATTATAAAGAATTATACTAGATATGGCTGGCGGCTGGCCTTTTTGTTTTGTACTACTTCACTATGAGTGCTCGTGTTGCTAAAAAAATGACAGCGCTTGATATGCTAGTTAACACCGGCAAATTAACTTGACATTTTTTCCACAGAGACAGAGGTACACATTACTTTACATAATCATCCTCGATATTTTCTCCCATTTTGGTTGAATTAGTGCCGCTAGCAATTCGTATGAAATTGGAACAGTTTGGATTATGACAATTATACATCAAGTTCTTCATCCTGGCAGCTACCATGCGGAGTGGTGGGCACTTTTGTTAAATATTGACCATTATTCTTTCAACAGGGAACATGTTGCATTAAAGTACAAAATCCGCTGCAATTGTAAGTCTTTGTATGCATACATATATTTTACCTGAATATCCCAAGTATGTTTTCCCTTTTTGGTTGAATTAGTGCCTCTGCTGCAGATGATTCCTGCGAAATTGGAATAGTTTGGATTATGACAATTATTCATCCAGGCTGCTATCATGTCAGCCCCTCTCTGCACAGTGAATACTTTCATTAAACAGTGTTGACAATTTTTCTTTCAGTAAGGAGCATGCTTTGTTAAAGTATATCCGATGAAAACCCGTAAAATTCAGACATAAAAGAGTTATATAAATTCATGAAAAAATTACTAGAGTTATGTCTGGACATGAAATACATTATCATCAAATTTCAAATCCGAACTTAACTCCATTTGGGAGTTAAAAAAAAGGACAAATTTTGGGTAAATAATAACATGATAATATTTGCTTGTAATTTATGCTTTTTCCGTCCCAGATGAAATTGACTTTGTATTTCATGCCTATTGTATCTTTAGTATTTTTTATTCATGAATTTAAAGAACTTCTAGGTATAGGTTTTGTTTTTTTTTCATGAAATTAGAGAACTTTTAGGTATGGGTTTCATAGGTTTTTACTTTATTGGATGGATTTCACTGGATGTTTCCACAAAATAAGCTTCCAGGGTAAATCTTTGTTGTAATTTTGTTTTTCTGCTTTGCTGTTCTCATGCATAATTGGAATTGATCTTGCTGCTCAGTGAGTTGGCTCCATTTCTGATGAAAATTGTACTGGTCTTTCAAGAATATATCCTTTATTTGATACTCAAGCTAATTCTTGCCTTTCTGATATCCATTGCTATGATTTTGTGGCGGTGTAAAATACCTTCCAGCAGCAACTGGTTTGTACCGTTTGCCGTGTTCCTGAGCGGAACGCACGCAGATTGTGACTGTGTCAAGTTCTTTACAATTGGAGTTTGTTTGAGACAACTTCCTATTGAACTCCGGTGCCCCTCATGTTCCTATTCAATTCATTAATTCACAGTGGAATTTTGAAGTCACCGATCTTGAAAACGCGCAGCTGTTTCGAAGACTGAAGCTCCTCTTGCAGAGCAGGTACAGTAGCCGCGACGAAGATTTTTTTTTTTGTTGCTGTTGGAACAAGAAAAAGTCCAAACCAAGCTATAACTACATATCAAGAAGAAAAGAGAAGAGAAGAGATATAAGAAAGCAGACTACAGATTTGTAGCCGGCTGTAACACAAACTTAAGATGATATGTGCGTATGAGAGGTGAGATTGGGTATTAATGGTGTAGTATATTTTTATAGTTAACTATTGATATGTGTGTATGAGATGTGAGACTGGGTATTAATGGTGTAGTATATTTTTATAGTTAACTATTATATGAATGGGCTCTTAGATTAGCTATAGATGATTTGAAACCAGCAGTTGTCTATACTTGGCTATACTATTAAACTTGCTCTCAAAAGGTAACAATGCCAAATAATAGTTTATTCTGGTCGGAATCAAATGGTAACCACTTTCTATTAGTCTCGAGAGCTTACAAGATTTAGCTGTATCTCTGCATGTCAAATTTTTTTTGGCTATAAAGCATATGCAATTTCCTAGAGGCGAGGTTTGATACTAACTAGAAATATTGGCGCGCCTGACCATGATGCTGCTGAATTGAGTATACATAATTGCTCAAGCTGGTTTAAGAGAATTAATAATTGAACATTGTATCAAGCATAACTATCGCAACATATTGAAGAGACTTAATTACCATTAACTTGCACATAAATCTGAAAGTAGAGAAATCAACGTATTGTGTACTGGTAAACTATTGTGTTCACTTGATGGTGAACAATCAGATCAGCTTTGTATTGGATCAGTGTTAAGTAGTGCTAAGAATTGAATACTTCCCAGTAGTCTTTAATTTCAATACAAATTAAAGAAAAGTGATTAAGCAACGATAAGATCAATGCTTACCAATGACATATAAGATCAATCATCAATTCTTGCCAATGACAATAATTTTAAATCAACAGATTAAGATACTTAAATATCCCACATCTATACAAAACTGCATCACTTTCCAGGAGTTCTATAATTTCTCTCCCATATCAACTCTGGTGAAAAGGAATACTATACTAAAAAGCTTTGAGTAGCATCTATATTTATCACTGATGCTAGGTAGTTGTGATACTATACAGAACTTTGCTTGTTTGAATTCTGAAAATGCTCCAACACAAATATTTCTATTTTAAGGAAGAAATGAATGAGCGTATGGTTGGATTGGAAACTTTAACCTGAACTCTGCATATAAACAACACAGTTAATTTTGTAGTACTCAAAAAAGCTAGCAATATGCTAAAGTGGGTGAGAATACATGTTTCTATACTGGCTTTACCTCAATGTAAAATAGGATGTAGTGGTCGGAGAAGCTTTCTGGGATGGATCACCATGGTAGAGAAGAGTCACTTTTATCCTGCCATCACTCCTTGGTGGACTATAGAAAGTCACCTATGTTTTCAATTGCAAATATTTTGGTACTGTGAGCTTGCAGGTTACTAATTTAGATTTAGAAGATAGACTAATTAAGTATAGATCACATGGACTGTAATTAACAACATTCTGTAAATATTCTTTTTTTTTTGTAGCACATGCAACCACTTTTCAGTTTGTTAAGCTAGGAAATAAGTATTGGCCTCACCTGCTTGTTTTGGAGAAGAAATCACCCCCAATGATTGCAGATCACGCTGCCTAGCTTAGAAAAGAAGAAAAGCAATTCTGTCACTCAAAAATAATTATTGTTTTGAATTTATATACATATGTTGGATATGCAAACAAAAACTGAAAATGAAGAGGTGTGGAGATTATCTCTTTATGCAGGATGCTACCACCCTATATCTCCATCATAAAGCAACCATTTTTCCCCTAGTATCCTATTGAGTTATACGGGGCAACTACAATGAATGGTTTGTACATACCAAAATTTGGAATGAGAATCATGGGGTAGCATTGTAATATTGTAATTTTAGAGTTGCCATATTAGCTCAAAGTGTATAAAACACAATACATAAAAATGATTTCATGTTGTTAAGTGTATTTGCCTCTTCTAAGATTCGCTAGACCGAGGCACGAAGCACACAATTCTTTGTTAGTATGGAGCAAAATGAGTTAACTTAAAAAAAAAAGTTATCATGTGAACCACAAATAATGAGCTGAACAGAAGTGAGCCAATTATCCCAGTGGCAATCTAAGAGTAGTAAAATATCACATTCTGCGTGTAAAATTTGACCAACTATTGATGATTCAGTGTTGAATATGAAACTATTCATCAGCTAATTGGTCATGCAATCCAAGAAAAACCTGATCCAAGAACTCCTAAATTAGATTACATTTTAAATTTTACTGAAGATAAATAGATATCTTTTTGGACTTTAACATATTTTCAGAAACATGGTAAATCTATCACCTAAAGTTGGAAGTAAAGATTTAGATAAGGATTTCCATGCAAGTATAAAATGTACATAAACACATTCCAGCAACTGGACAATATAACCATCCCATATTATTTCAGAATCACAATTTCTTAATGTTTGTGGATAGTCATGTAAAATGCTATATAAACAAAGCACTGCCTAAGATACCATGCCCCATGAAATCTACAGATCAAGGTATATGTTACTAAATGCATAACCTCCATGTGGAAACTACAAAATAGTTCTGGCATGTTATATTGCCAAAGAACAATTTTGGTGAACTCCTCTCCAAAAAGTAAAAACTAAATAATTGTTCTAACAGGTGGATATTTTATATGTTAAGAGAGTAGGTAATTTTGAACACATAATACAAAATCGCAGTTCTTGATAAGTTGATAGATTGAATTCTGGCATATATGTACTGCAACCACATCTAGAGTTTCCCATATGGCTGAAGGAAAATAAAACTAAACGCAACTTAGTTAACAACTAAACACTGCTTCACACTAACATCTTTGACATGTAAATTGGGATATCCGTATATATATATTCATCACAATGAATTAAGCCTAAAGCATATTGCTGCTGAGAGAGAAGTAAGATTAATCTAATAATGCAATATTAGTCTAGTTTGACTCCACTTCATCCAGGCGAGATGACATGCCATTACATACTATATAAAATGGCATTAACTGTTGGGCTGCCTTTCTTGGAGCGAAATAAGACGGGAAAAAATAAAAAGAGAAGAACAAAGAAAGCAGGACAAACCGAGCCACTGCTGCCGTTGTCGTTGCACCTGCCATCGTCGCCGGGCCGCAACCACCGTCGTCAATGTCGTGCCCGAGCTGCTGCCTCTCCAATCACTCAGCCCCAACGCTCCTATGTCCTTCCCTTACCAAATCTGGCGACCCTAAAGCAAGATCCGGCATCGAGGTGAAGGTGAGGAAGAGGGTGGAGAAGGAGGCCAGGATGGGCGGTGGCGGGAGAAGACGGCGGTGGGGGTGGCTTCGGCTTCCATGCGTCACCTTTGAGGGGCGCGGATTCACCAGCAAGGAGACCGTTGGGGAGGCCAAGAACATCGATTCCGATGGCCCCCAAACCGGATCTGCAGCTCACCGAGGATTGGGAGAGAAAGAGGGAGGCAGTGATGGCTTGGAGATGAGAGGGGAGAAGAGGGCGACCCTCTCCTTCCTCTGGGTGGCTAGATCCACAGGGGGTGGCGCCGGCGCAGCAGCGATAGGAGGAGGAGGCTGAGGCGGCGACGACGCAAGCGAGGGGAGGAGAAGCCGAGGAGGGCGAGGCGGCGCTATACCTGGCCAAATGGGCCGTGCCAAGCCGGGCCGGCCCAAGCACGACCGCACTGTAGAAGGCCCAGGCCTGGCACAGCACGCCGGCCTGTGGGCCGTGCCGGCACGGCCCGTTTACCCGTGCCGTGTCTGGGCCGACGCCATAGCCCGTGGGCCAGCACGGCACGGCACGTTTACTGTAGAGGGCTGGCACGGCATGGCACGGCCCGCGAGCACGGCACGGCACGGGAGCGGCCTAGGGTAGGCACACCGCACACGTGGCGCCAAGCGGCCGAGCCGCCGAGGGCAGCCGCGGGGCCAGGCGGCGGGAAGCGCGCGTCGCTGCGTTCGCGCGTGGCGCGTGGCAAGCGGCGTCGCGACGTGTCGCTAGGGCTGGGAGGCTGGGTCGCTCTCGCTCTGACTGCCTCCGTCACTCCGTGCCTCGTTGGGAGCAGCCGAGACGGCGACAGGCGACTCAGCGAGACCCCATACGGCGGCCGAACAGCTAGTCAAACGACGAATGCGAGAGTGCCACGTGTCCCCAACGGCTAGTGAGCTAATCCAACGACCGCTGTTTTTGAGAAGTAGCCGTTGGAGAGCAAAAAAATGGAAAAAAATTCGAAAAAAATATGAAATTTATTTCTATAAATAGGACACCCACCGGAGCATTCTGAATCATCTATACCTCCCATTTTGTGCTCTGTTGTGCTCTTTCGTGTGATAGATCGATTTTTTGATTTAGACAAAATTTTGTCTAAAATCAAAAATAGTTTGTGACTAAAAATAGTGCATACAAGAGGTGTAAAGCCAAGCAAAGGTGGTAAGAAAGAAGTACGTCATATATTCAGTTTTATGTATTATTTTATTTTATGTTATGCGAATAAATATTCTGAAATTTGTTTATGTTGTTTTAAATTTTCAGAATGGACGAATCGAACATTCCATCGTTCACGTTAGGTGATTTCGACCCTAACTACGTGTCGAGGTCATTCCCAACTGGTGAGTATGATGCCACCGGATCGGCTCCAACACCACCAGTTATGGAGCCACCAGCGGGTTCAGAAGCATCCGGCGCTATGAGTGGGAGTGCATCGACGAACACCGGCTCAAAGAGATCAAGAACTTCCGGTGTTTGGCAACATTTCGATGAGGTGGCCGTGACAGGCCCTGATGGAAGGCAGGTAACATTCGCGAGATGTAGAATATGCAAAAATAAGTTATCTGCAAAATCATCTGGTGGAATAGGACATTTGAAGCGGCATGCCGAGGCTTGTGCAAAGAAGCAAGGAATCCAACTACGACAGCAACAACTACTACTAAATCCTGATGGTACGGTACGTACGTGGGAGTATGATCCTATGGTAGCTCGAGAAAATCTTGCCCGTTTAATTGCTAGACAAGATTTACCCTTGAACTTTGGTGAGAGTCCTGCATTTGAAAATTACATAAAAAAATTCTCATAATCCTAGGTTTCAAGCTGTTAGTAGACAAACCACAACCCGTGATTTGAAAAATGTCTATGACAAAGGTTATGAATCACTGAAGGAATTATTAAGTACATGCACCTTTTCTGTCAGTGTCACCTCAGACATATGGAGTAGTAGGGCTAAAGAGGATTACCTTAGTGTAGTTGTACATTTCATTGATGATGATTGGCAAATGCAAAAAAGAGTTCTTGGCTTAAGGTTAATTGATGTTTCACATACTGGTGAAAATATAGCAGAGAGAATTCGAGAGGTTATTGATGAGTTTAACCTTGCAGATAAAATTTTTGCTGTAACAATGGATAATGCATCTGCAAATTCTAGGGCCATGGAAATTCTACAACCATTATTTTGTATTTATGCTCAATCATTTCTTCTGCATCAGCGTTGTGCATGCCATATCATTAATCTAATTGTTAAATGTGGGTTTAAGAGAGTTAATGTACAGATCGACGCTGTTCGTCAAGCAATCACGTGGTTAACTGCTTCAAACCCACGGATTGCACAGTGGAAAAGGTATTGTTGTGCATCGGGTGAGCCCCCACGTAAGTTTTTAACCGATGCAGACCATCGGTGGAATGCCATTTATTTTATGTTAAAGGTTGTATTACCTTACAAGGATTTACTTACTGTTTTCCTTCAAACATGTAATGGCCCAAAAAACAGTGACGGCCAGCCAATACTGACTGATCATACCTGGCACATTGTTGAAAGGTTCAATCAATTTCTTGAAACGTTTCATGACTGTACTCTTCTGTTATCTCAAGTATATTATCCAACAGCTAATTTAATTTTGCATAATATTCTTGAAATTGCCACTTTGTTGAAAGAGTATGAAAATGATGACCTTTTAATGCCCGTTGTCTTTAATATGAAACAAAAATATCTTAAATATTGGAAAGATATCCTCATGTTGTATTCTTTTGCATTTATTCTTGATCCTAGGGGAAAATTACGGGGATTCCTCAATATTCTTTCACTTATTGGAGATATTATTAATGTTGATTATTCTACCTATTATGCTGATGTCAAAACTAAATTCTATGAGGTATTTCGAAAGTATGAATTAAAGTTTCAGGGAGATCGCTTGCAAAGACCCCCACCTGTCCTTGCAGCAGGTAAGAAAAAATTACAGTGGAGCAGAATTTGGGGCGGTTCATCTTCTAGCCATGGTGGTGGTACCAGTTCATCAGCAGCAAGTGGAGATGCTAGATCGCATGGTCCTGCCGAAGAGTTGTCCAACTATTTGGATAGCGATGCCATCAGGCATGAAACGTCAGACTTCAACGTACTCGGGTGGTGGAATGATCATAAGATGTCATATCCTGTGCTATCAAAACTAGCACGGGATGTGTTGACGGTGCCCGTATCTTCGGTATCCTCCGAATCAGCCTTCAGTCTATGCGGAAGAATTATCGAGGATAGGAGAACAAGTCTGAGCAGCGATCATGTGGAAATACTATTAAGCGTCAAAGACTGGGAACTTGCTGCAGAACATGCCCAATACACTGCTGACAACCAAGAATTGGCCGCACAGTTCGAAAACCTTTATTTAGATGACGAACAATTAGGGTAGCTAGTTTATATTTTTTAAGTATTGACCTGTTGGCTGTACTCTTTTCTTTGTCATGGTTTTCTCAAATATGAGTTTTTACATGACAAAGTTTTTAACGAGGCAGCATGTATCATGTAAACATCAATAAAGGTCATTACTCTTTTTTCCCCATATTTTTCTAATATTTTTCTAAGTCTAATTATTTTTCTATTTTTCTCCAACTATCCATTAATTTTCTCTTAGCTTAGTTAACTTTCGGACCTTTCTCTTTGATTTGAATTGTTCCACTGACAGAGTGACAGGCGATAGACACACGGACAGAGGCAAGTCACTGAGTCAGCATTCAGCAAGTCCAGCGCCACGTGTCGCCCTTCGGCCGGCCGGTCCCGCGGCCCCGGCCGCTCGCTCCCGCGTGCCGCGTCCAAATTTTCATCCGCGCGCTCGCCTTGTCGGCGTTGTCGCCTTGCCAGCTTGCCTGCAGTCGATCGTGCCAACGGGCCGACCACGACCCATGGGCCATTGACGTGCCCGTGCAGGCACGGCACGGCACGACGTTCCCTCGGGCCGTGCTTGGGCCGGGGAGTAGGCACGTGGGCCGGCACGGCACGGCCCGCTACAGGAGTCGTGCCTAACGGGCCGTGCCCTAGCGGGCCGTGCCGCTGGCGTGCCCGTGCCGTGCTGGGCCGGGCCGGGCCGCCCGTTTGGCCAGGTATAGGCGGCGCGCGTGATACGTGAGAGAGGAGGGCGAGGGCGCATGCGACGCTGTGGGCGAGGTGCTAGGGTTTCGCGTGGGCTAGAAAAATCCACGCCGTTCATTCACAATCCAACGATCCTATGGGTGCGAAAGGGCCGCCACAGTAGTACACGTGTACAGCCAGATCGATCCTATGGAGAGATTAGACTGTGGATAGTAGCGGGGATCGGTGTGTAATTAGCTGAAAGCGCAGGGTTGTTTTTGTAAAAGTTGGCTGATGTGGCGTGCTTATTCTCGAGCATTCCCACGACGTTTAGATAGATTAATATGAAGACATTTTGCTTTTGGGATATACGGTACCATAACAAAAGGAATAGGTTTCTCATATTATTCAGCACATCGGAATACCAGCACGTATGATAGTACTATTTTGCAACTTACAACATAATATCTTTGGTATTTCTCAAGTTTTCCTCTTTTTTATATGCGTTGTTGCATGTCAGGGCTTTGTTAAGAAAAATATTATACAGCATTATACATAGTTCATGTTTGTAGAAAGGGACAAGCACGGCATCCAAATTGGCAACAAATAGTTCGTGTGACGTTAATGGTCCCGTTCTTTGCTTCAACAAAAATTAGATAAAATTCAATTCGTGCCACGTTTTTTAAATTGCTAAACAATATGTGTTTAAAAATATTTATATAAAAGTTGCTTTAAAATATCAGATAAATATATTTTTTTAATTTATAATATTTAAAACTCAATTAAATATGTTAGTGTCACCTTATTTACGTAAAACACTTAATCTTTCCTCTACATAAGTTTCCACGTATACACTCGAGCAATATCTATATCTACGTTGAGCGGGGATCTTATTCATGTTAGAATGTCCTTTGTCTTTAAGGTAACAATTTTTTTTTCCAAAACCTTAGACACGTGTATCTGTCGACAGATGCCAACGTTCTGGTGCGTGTAGCTCCTTGATGCTACCAGTGCTTTCCTTGGTTGCATCCGTGCGCCTCGATTGTTGCATCCCAGATGCCACGTTTAGGGGCACGCGTCGGAGAGTTTGGATCGGTTCACAAAGATAAACCCACATCCTTAGCGCGGCCAGTTCGTCGTCTGAACCTCTGAAGATAGCAAAATGTCCTCTAGCGATCAGAACCCATCGCCAACACCGGCGTCCGGCACCGGCACGTCCGTGCCGCCGCCAGGCAGGGCGACGACGGTATCCTCGCAGCTCCTGGACATGGGCGCGCAAGCGGTGCAGGCGCTGAAGCCCGTGCGCCAGATGAAGCAGCACGCGTGCAGCTTCGCGCTGTACGCTCACGACCTGAGCCGCCAGGTCGAGGTCCACCACTTCGTCTCCCGCCTCAACCAGGACGTCCTCCAGTGCGCCGTCTACGACTCCGACAAGCCCTCGGCCCGCCTCATCGGTACAGATTGCCTTTGCTGATCTCCATTTTTTGCACCATCGCTCTGCTTGGCGTGGTGATTAATTCAGTTTGCGAATGCGAACTCGCCCGTGTAGGCGTGGAGTACATCGTGTCGGACGCCATCTTCGAGAGCCTGCCTCCGGAGGAGCAGAAGCTGTGGCACTCGCACGCGTACGAGGTGAAGGCCGGGCTGTGGACCGACGTCGGCGTGCCGGAGCCGCTGCAGAGCTCGGAGATGGCGAGGATGGCCAAGACGTACGGCAAGCTCTGGTGCACCTGGCAGGTGGACCGCGGCGACGCGCTGCCCCTGGGCGCGCCGGCGCTCATGGTGTCGCCGCAGGCCGTGGAGCCCGGGCGGGTGCGCGCCGAGCTCGTGCACGGCCGCGACGAGAGGTACAAGATCGACAGCTCGGCGCAGGGGCTGAAGGGGGCCAGGGTTGAGATGGACGAGCCGGAGTGGATCAACCCGAACGCCGACTACTGGCGCCTACACGGCAAGGGGTTCGCCATCGACGTCACCGCCACCGAGATGAAGCGCCACGCGCCCTTCCCGTGAAAATGAGAGGAAGACGCTCTTGATTTGCCGCTGTACTTGACAAGTTCGCTGCACACATATGAAACGAAAAGTCTGGATGAAATGTCAGCTTATCTAAAGTTGTGTGTTGTGATGGTGCTACGGTGCTACCTATGCTGTACCTTTCCATGTGCCACGTCTCTCTCTCTCTCTATAGCAATGTTGCACAAAAACTTTTGGAGAATGGCGCAGAAGACATCGACCTCAAGAAGAACGGTACTACTTCCTTCCAATATCCAATAAAGCAGTATATCTCTCTATAGCAACGTTACACAAAAACTTTTGGAGAATGGCGCGGAAGCCATCGACCTCGAGAAAAACGGTACTACTTCCTTCCAATAAAACAATATAAAATCAAAATGATGTATAAGGGCAAGTACTATAATGCTCTGTATGCTGCCCCTAAAAGTGCCATATTAGATTGAATAATGAGGTGGAGGAGACAAGTGAGGAGAGAGATGATGAGCCACCCGTAAATTAAGAGGCAATCTCCACACAAATTTCAAGAAGGGTGTGAGAGTATTAGAGACATTGGTATTTGTGTACTATAGGTGACATATTGTATGAGTTGCCTCTTAGTTCATGAATGACTTATATGGATAAATTTAAAGGTGGTAGTCACATCTACCATAGCACTTGTCCTAAGGGTATGCCTAATGCTCCACCTTGGAGCGTGGTCTCACACCTCCCAAAGCGAATATTCGCGCCACGTCGGAAGGAGCCGCGTCCCTGCAGGGGTGTGCGAATGCTATAGGAGGTCCGCGCACCCTTATCAGAGGCACTGCTCTGGCATCTGGAGGAATCGATGAGGATGCGCGTTGGGTAGCTGTGTCGCCCAACTCGAGCTCCCACGCCATTGCCATCACAGTCGAGGTTGAGATCGTCGCCGCCGTGCAGATCCGACGAGCTCGAGGCCAGTCGGTGGGGAGAAGAAGATCGGCGCATCGGAGAATGACAGGATATAGTGCATCGGTCCCAGCCGTCGCCGCGTCGATCCATGGCCGCTGCTTCGATCCCGGCCGCCGCCTCGATCCGTCACCGCTACCGCTCGATCCGCCACTGCCGCCGCTCGATCAACCGCCTCCTCCTCGATCCGCCACCATCGCCGCTCGATCCGGCACTAGGGGGAGAGGGCGGGGCTGGGGAGAGGCAGCACCATCGGGAAGGGGAGGCGCAGGGAGAGAGGCGATGCCGGGGAAGAGATCGTCGAAGAGAAAGGAAGCGCTGGAGAATTTGGGGAGATATGGTGATAAGAGGAGGGGTTGATGTTTATATATGTTTGTGATTTCTAGGGGGCATATTGCAAATATTGGACTTATATACGAATAAAAATAATCTAAGGGCTTAAATGCAAAATGTGACTGACTGGCAGGTGCTGAATTGCAAAATAAGATAGAGGTATGGCTTGCACTGTGTGAGGCATATCTCTAGCTGGGTCCTTGATCACTTTTGCTCACATGGATGGTGGGGGTGCTCCCTGCGTTGGGCATGCCCTGAGTACCTCCTTCCAATAAAGCAATATAAAATAGGAAAAAGTACGAAGTACACCCCTGAATTATCGCGGTCGTCTGAATTACCCCCCTGAACCACAAAACCGGATATTCTTCACCCCAAACTATGTAAACCGAACGAATTACCCCCCTCGACCCAATCCGCGGTGGTTTTGGTCTACGTGGCGTACACGTGGCAGTCCAGTCAGCATTTTATTTATTTAAAAAATGTGGGACCCACCTGTCATACTCCTATCCAACTAGTCCTCTTTCTCTCCTCTCTCTCTCTTCTCTCGCTCTCTCTCACTCACGCGCACGGAGGCAGGCGGGCGATAGGGAGCGGCGGCGGCGGTGGAGGCGAGCGGCGACAGCGGCGGCGGGGTGCGGCGGAGGAGACGAGCGGCGGTAGGGTGCGGCGGAGGAGGCGAGCGTGGCCTGGCCGGCCGGCCCATCGTGCCGTGCCGGGCCTGCCCAATGTGCCGATGGAGGGGCCCAGGCACGACCCGGCGGCCGCGTCGGGCCGGCACAGGCCCAACCCCGTCGGGCCAGGCCGTGCTTGGGCCGAGCCAAAATACCGTGCCTTGGGTCGAGTCGTCGGGCGTCGGGCCGAATGGCCAACTATACTCTAATATAGAGTAATCATATCTTACTATAAAGTTATCCCCCACTAACTTCTTAAGCTTAACATGCAAAGATGCCACATCATCATCCACTAACAAGATGCCACATCATCATCCACTAACAATCATCACATTTAAACATTATGGAAACATGCTATATCTTTATAGTTTTTATAATTTAAAAGCTTTTCAAATATAAACATGTTAAATTATCATCCAACATAATTCACATAATGTTTCAATGAATATCTTTATTATGTTTTATGATATTCTATATCCTTATATAGTTCATCCTCGCTTAGTTAGTGTTTAAATGATTAATATATGGTCCAAATTATCTTTCTCCCTTTTTTCTCTAATTAAATCATATCACATCAATTGTTTTTAGCATTTAGATGATTAATCTACGGTCCAAACTATCTTCCTACTTTTCTTCTTCCATAAAGTCATACCACCTTACTTTTTACGTTTGAATCACCATTCTACATACTATTTAAATTTAAATTATTATAAACCACATTAATTTACTTAATCTGATGTTATCCAGTTATCTTACACGTTAATTTTTTTTATTGATATCATAGTAAATTCCCGCAGCAATGCGCGGGTTTCACCAATTCTTTATATTAGTACGAACAATTATGTAAGTAAATTGAATTGCTCTTTATCCTTCATTTATATCGCACATCAAAAAAGACGAGTCCTTTGAGAACAATATCATTATTTATTTGGCAACCGTAAGAAGGTAAGAAAAGACAACCATATTAAACTGAGGTTGTTGGACTGTTTCACATAACGCATAGTTTTATAAGCTTTTGTACTGCATTGTGGATTGAAAAATCAAACACGAAATACGGAAAGCCTAAAGAAAAGGAGTTTTTTTTTTATATAGATGAAAGGAGTAGCAAGAGAAGTACATAGTTGATTTTTGTTTTATAAGAGAACCAATATTTTCTGGACATGCATTTTGATGCAGCATACATCTATACAGATGTCAAAGCTACTTCTTTTTTTTTTTCATCCTCGTATATGTTTGCAGGTACTTGCCAATTGAAAATAACAGAAGGATCAGGGAAATATATTAAGAAATCCGCAAAATTCTGCGAGGATTAATTGTAAAAGGAGACAAAGCAATTAGAAATGGAGAAAATACCAATGATGATTTATTGGGATTATTGGTAGAATCAAATATGAGGCAATCAAATGAAAGAGAAGAAGTAGGAATGAGTATAGAAGATACTAGAAGTACAAGGTATAAGCGCGGCGCCACGCCGCGCATAGCTGCGCACGAAAGGATGCTTAACAGCTTAATTAAAACAAACCCTAAACATGTAGGGGATGACTACCATGTAAACAAAATAAGCTTCAATTTTAAAGATGTATTTGAAACAAATAGATAGTATAATACAATAGCAAATTATTGGAGTAATTTATTATTGCTCAAAACTAATGAAAAGCTCAATCTTCTAAACAAAACATAATGTACAAATTGCCCAAGTGGCCATGACTACAATTGCCAAGTGATTGCGATAAAAAAACTCAGTTTTTGTACATTAAACCTACCCGACTTCCGTTGATTTGGAATGGTTTGTAATGATGAAATAGATGTCCTGAAATTTTCTTCAAGCATATGTACCAATCTTTTAGTGTAACTTTAAAGCTATACTGAGATCCCAATAGAACAATCACAGCTTCTACATTGTCTGTTGTCCCTATCTATAAAGAAAGATCAACAACATAATCTGCCAAATTCTGTTGTGTTAATGCAAAGGATCCTAATTCTTGCTTAACACCAAGTTTCACGTACAACATCAGATCACAGACATCCTGCATAGTCACTTTCTCAAATACGCCATCAGAGGAGGCAACAATAAGAAAGGTATCATTTGGTAATAGAGCTTCCCACTTCATAACAGCAACAGCTGAACAGCACATCAACGTCAGGCAGTAGCTCCATCAACATCAGGCAGATCAACCCTCAGTTACAGCAGAACCAGGAATGCAGCTCTTCCTGAGAAAAGAATGCATAATTAGCTGAGAAAAGAATTGTGTTAGATCGTTGGGCGGTACCTGAGAAAAGAAAGCCATAAAAGAATGCATAATTAGCTTACTGTGGAATCTGAATGATGTAGTTAATATCCTGGAAATAAATGGTTCCATGTGAGATAAGGATCAGATAAAAAAAAAGAAAGAAACAACTCGGCTTGAAGAATTCTTGAGAACGAGCACCGGTGTAGGAACTCGTAGGATGCCCATGAAGTCCTCAAATTTGGGAATAAGGAATATTGATGTTAACCATGACTCCATGAAATAGAAGTCCAAGTCGTTTTTATACCTGAAACTAAAGAAATTTCATAGATCAACTACTGTATGAAGCACTGATGACATGTATGCCTGGTCACATCAAGTTTTTCTTTTATCGAAGTAGAAAGAGAATTTTTTAGTCGAACAGTAAGGAAATTCTTATGTCTAACAGCTATAAGAGCATAACAAAAAAACTACTTTTGCATGGTGCATCTAGAGATTGTTAGACTCAAATACATGATCAAAGCAGCACTGTGTTTACAACAATTATTTTATAAGCACTGTTCAGCATTGATCAAAAGACACACAGCGCTCTAGAGTCTAGTTGGTCGAAGTAACAAAAAAAATCATCCCAAACAAGTACATAATAGAAATCTAGAAAAGGTACTGGACAAGAGACAAAGTAATTGCTAGTGCTACATTTTCAATGGCCCATGATTTCAAAATACAAAGATGCACAGCAGACCTTAAAGTTGAAGAAGGATGTAGCAACATCAGATGAACTAAGGATGTTAGGCATAGCAATCTAAATAAGTACATTTACTTAACCATCCTGTGTACCTATTATAAATATATATTACTCCAGAACTCTTATTAACAGTGGCAGTTCGACAAAAACAATTGCGATATTTGTTTACTGATATCTCTCGCTATGGTTGACAAATTAGAAAATAAACTCAGCATTACTGAAATACATATTGAAGAGGACAATTGGACAAAACTTCGTTGTATAGTACCAAATTGCTGGAAGTCATGATCTTACCTGAATTCCCTGATTCATCAGCTCATCTGAATTTACTAATATGTAGACCAACAAATCTGTAAACAGAAGCACTGGTCTGAACCCAAAAAAAAAATGTCATCATAAACTCTCTTGCAGATAACACGCCAAATGAGCTTTCAGAATTCATACCAAATAGTAAGAAGCATCGATAGCAGAGAGAACCCGAGCTGTTGGTGGCTATCGTCAGCAGCGGCCAAATCCGCTGAAACTATGTCAGATTTCCAAAACAACTCACATGTCCATACAAATCAATCATCTTATAGAAGTCCATGACCTGAAAGCCTCCAAAAAATCAATCGAATCAATGTTCGTCGAATTTCTAGCACCATTAGTAGGATTGCTGGTAGCGCTGCATTGAAACGGAGAAAAATTCTCCAACAAATCACTCGAATCCACATCTATGCCGGTGGACTCACCTTCCTCCCAGTAGAGCGACCATTCACATACCTAGCGCCAGCTCGAAGGTTCCTCAGCTGCTGCTCATTGCCTCCTCCCCTGCCGCCTGCTTGTAGCTCAAGCGAGTCGAGGCCTGCTCGCCGCTGTTGCCGTCTATGGCACAAGACGCATGATGCTCCCTCGGCATGCTTGGCGGCGGAGACGAGCGCCGCACGGGAGAGAGGAGCGCTGTGCGGGACGTGGCGCGACGGCGGAGGAGAGGAGAGGAGCAGACGCGCGGAGAGGGAGGAGGCGGGGAGGCCGGCATGCTCGCCGGCGGAGATGAGCGCCGCGCGGCGCGGTGGCGAAGTGGCGCGCGGCGCGACGACGGAGGAGGGGAGAGGAGCGGCGCCTGCCTCCACCCTCTCCGCCCGCTCGCCGGCCTCCTCGCCGCCTCCCTCTCCGCGCGCGCTCACCAACATCCCCGCGCTGCTCGCCGGTCTCCCCGCCTCCTCCCTCTCCGCTCGCTCGGACCGGCCGCTCCACCCCAAACGCCCATCGTTGTCGTCGTCGCAGCCACCATGGCCGTCGTCGTTATCGCAGCTGCCGCCGCCGTGGCCGCTCGAACCCGCCCGCCTAAGCCGGGCGGAATCGGGCAGATCCGCGCGCTGCCGTCGCTCCCGAGCACGGGAGGCGATGGATCCGCACGCCACCGTCCTTCCCAGCCGCGCCTGGCCGCTCCAGAGGACAGAGGCCACCGGATCCGCGCGCCGCCGTCTCTTCCGAGAACGGGGGGCGGCGGATCTGTACGCCGCCTTCCTTGCCCCTACACTCTCCCCTTTCCGACGACGCGGGGTACACAAGGACGGACCACGTCGGCAGCGGCGGGTGGAGGGCGGATGACGACGGAGGCGACTGGGGGAGGGTGGACGGCAGCGGGGGGAGTTCCTATTTTTATGTCAGTTTTCTCCTCCCCTCCGGCTGAAGCCGCCGCCGCAACCACCGCCCGACGCCGCGCCAGATCCGGAGAGGAGGGCCGCCGCCGCCAGCGCCCCCACCCCCCCTCCTGGCGGAGCCGCCGCCGCATCCACCCTCCACGCCGCCTGCACCGGATCTGGGAGGAGGTAGGGGCGCCGCCGCTGGCTCCACCCTCCGCGCCGCCGCCCTCCGGCCGGAATCTACGCCGAGACCGCTGGGAAGGGAGGGGAGGAGAGGAGAGTTGAGGAGAGGGAGAGAATGGGGGGAGGGTTTCCGGATTGGGGGGTTAGTGTAGGACGTTTTGCATAAAAACCCCTATGTTTTTTATGTTTACAGCGCTACCCTTAGAAGCGGAATTTTATCTTCTTTGCATTGTATTTTTATGGAATAAAAGGGGTTATACGTAAGAAACAAAACGGGATGTCAGCCGGTCTGAGGACGTATGCGATATTCCGTGCAAACGCGAGGAGTTTTTTGCAAAAAATCCCAGCCCTCTCACCAACCCTCCAGCCTGGCACGTATGCACACCAATTTTGATTAACCGGCCCACCGCTTACAGACGGTTGCCCCCGCGTGCGAGGGACTGAGACTCGGTGACATTCCCCCTAAACATTCTCGATGACATTCAGTCGCTGACGTGTGGGACCAGGCACATGTGGGTCCCATATATCAGTGACTCAATGTCACCGAGAATATCACGGGGGAATGTCACCGAATCCTAATCCGCGTGCGAGAGGAGCAGGAGGGGTTTGTGGCCACGTGTAAATCAATAAGATAGCCCAAAAAGAATTCAGAAAAATGAGAAAAAAGGTAGGGTTAGGGGAGTTATTGATTGATGATAATCGAGGAATGCAGGTTATTTTACTTTGCAGGTTCGGAGACAACATCATGTTGCTCACTTAGACATTAATTATGCTAAGTATGCACCCTGAGTGGCAAGAAAGAGCGAGAGAGGAAGTGATGCACCATTTTAGAAGAACCACACCAGATCATGATGGCTTGAGTCGTCTAAAGATTGTACATATGACGTCAACATGTTCTGATATTTTCTAAAACCGTAAAGTACTACCTTTTGTCTAAATAAACTTCAGTTTGATTTTGAGATTTCATTGCCTGAATAATTACCTACAACATCAGAACAAATTGTTCAAAATCATGTCAACCTTATGTCTATTCCCCATCAAAATTGATTAGTAAATATGCTTCTCGCATACATCTTTGGGACATTGAACCGAAATAATAACTAAATGCAGATATCTACTCCCTCCTTTCTCATTACAAGGTGTCTTTATCTTGAGGAAAAGCCAACATTTATAACTTTTGACTAATAATTAAAATTGGCAATATTTTTTAGTTTTATGCATATAACATTGTTAGATTTATATTTGAAAGTATTTTTATATAATGTTGATTATGTAATTGTTGATGATATATTATGTAAGAAACCAATGGCTAAAGATCACGTGAAGATTGTGTTAAAAGCTTACATTTTAGGACCTATAAAGTATATTTTAAGTTTAGAATCTTTGTACCATAATTGTGGTGGACTGGTGGTGAATTCATGGGTGTATGAATCTATCTTAAATCGCGGTGTTTACAAATAAGCCTACCTACACTTAGTTGGATAGACGTCAGAAGTTAGGGCAAACTCCTAATTTTAGCTTCAGAAGTTAGGTCTAGAGTGTAGTTGTGGAGCACAGCAGCCTAAACCCAGCTCCACCTATCTAGTTCATTTTGTGAGAACACTTCACCCAGCTTTGCTCCCATTTTAGGTGGAGTTGGAACTGTTTGGCTGGGCTCTAGCTATAGGAGAGGTGGAGCTGGAGCTGTGACGAACAGGCTGTTAGTCTTTTGTCATTAAAAAAACATTGTAAGTTAAACTGCATTTATGTTTGTGGTATTTTTACAGGTAACAATGATTCTCCACGAAGTTATTAGGTTATACCCATCGGGGATCTTCCTCCAAAGAACAACACGCAAGGAAATAGAGCTTGGTGGCATCAAATACCCTGAAGGAGCAAACTTCACATTGCCCGTTCCATCTATCCACCATGATCCCAGCATCTGGGGAGGAGATGCAAGCGAGTTCAACCTGGAGAGGTTTGCCAACGGAGTCTCCAAGGCAACGAAGTTTAAGACCGCATTCTTTATGTTTGGATGGGGGTTCTCGGATCTGCCTTGGACAGAACTTTGCAATGCTGGAAGCCAAGATGGCGCTCGCCACCATCCTCCAGAGCTTCTCCTTTGAGCTCTCACCGTCATACACCCACGCACCACACACCATGCTAACTTTTCTGCAGCCACAATACGGTGCTCCGATTAAGCTGAAGAAGCTCTAATGACCTCGGTCTAGGAGAACATGAAGCTATCTATACATGCTGAAATATGAATATGTTTCTATGTTTCTTTTTTTTTCATGTAAAATTTCTGTACTTGGAACTGAAATGAAAATAAACAGAGTTTGTGAATACATGAGATAAGAGTACAGTACGAGTAGTACTGTCTTATTTTTCCTTGGTAGGGACGAGCTCAAAATTTGAACTTCATTTTGTTCACATGTTGGCATGTAAACTAATTACTCAACCCAACAGTCGGGCAGGTGAGAGTTGGGAGACCAACGAAAAAACTTTAGGCATTGCTTTCTCCTATGTCATTGAGAACGAGTACTATGGGCATCAAGCACAACCCCCAAGATGCCACAGAAAACTATAGGCCTTAGTTCCCTAAAATTTTTTCTCAAAAATATTACATCGAATATATGGACACATGCATAAAGCATTAAATATAGATTAAAAGAAAAAACTAATTGCACAGGTAGGGGGAAAATCGTGAGACGAATCTTTTTAGCCTAATTAGTTAATAATTAGCCATAAGTGTTACAGTAACCCGTATATGCTAATGACGGATTAATTAGGCTCAAAAGATTCGTCTCGCGGATTCCGTGCGAGTTATGAAATTATTTTTTTCATTCGTGTCTGAAAACGTCTTCCGACATTTAGTTAAACATTCGATGTGGCACTCAACAATTTTCTTTTCGCGAATTAAAGGGTCCGAAATGTCAGCGTGTCTTAAGTTGTGTGCAGTGACTTCCACTTCCTGTACGTAACTTTCCATATGCCATCTCTCGACGTTGCACAAAGACTTTTCGAGACATGGCGCTGAAGCCATCCATTTTCGAGAAAAACAGTATATACTCTAGAAAAACTCAATCTAATATTTTGATTGGACACAATCTTAGTCTAACAAATATAAATAAACAGCCTATTCAGATTATTTATAGTAGATTTATATCCAATTAAAATACTAAATTCGATTCGTTGTATTAGATTATATCCAATCAAAATATTAGATTGATTTTATTTATTTTTTTTTTCGGAGGGAGTACTAGTCTACGGCGTCGTCAAGACGTCAACAACCTCGATTTCTCGAAGAAAAACGGCAGTGGACGAGCCGCGTACGCCGTCGACCAAACCGTCGTCTATGAAAATTACAAGTACTAGTACATCCACGCACGCAGGGCGGTCTTGCGACACCACCGATTGTTCGGCTTGCACTGACACCACCGGAGGCTGAGAGCCCGCCAACGGCGAAGGAGAGTTGCACCGGCGCGTCGCTGATGCTGGGAGAGGCCGCCTCACCGTGGAGCCTGGCCGGCGCGGGCGCGGCCGTGGCGCTGCTGTGGCTGTGCGCCTGGACGCTGCAGTGGGCGTGGTGGACGCCGCGGCGGCTGGAGCGGGCCCTGCGGGCGCAGGGCCTCCGGGGCACCAGGTACCGCCTCTTCATCGGCGACGTGGCCGAGAACGGCCGGCTCAACAGAGAGGCCGCGTCAAGGCCGCTGCCGCTCGGCTCGCACGACGTCGTCCCGCGCGTCATGCCCTTCTTCTGCAACGTCCTGAAAGAGCACGGTAACACACCACTGCCAGCTGATCACCATGTTCCCCATGGCTTTTGTGATGTCAAAAACGCCGCGCGCTTCTGGTATTGAACCAGCGACTAGCATCGCTCGTCGCCTCGTCGCAATTCGTTCTTCTCGGGGAGGGATTGTCCCGGATATGAAGGGTCAAACGGTAGTTCCGTTTGTGCATTATTAACAGGTGGCTTACGTGTCAGATTTAAGGTCATGTTCTTTTTAAATTATTCAGTGGATTATTGTGGCAGATTATCTAATTCCTCCGTTTCATTCTAACATTTCTCACATTCATATTGATATTAATGAATCTAAATAGATATATATGTCTAGATTCATTAATATCAACATGAATGTGGAAAATGTTAGAATGACTTACATTGTGAAACGGAGGGAGTACTTGATATAGAGATAAATCGAATATTTAGATTCAAAATAAGTGGTCTAAGCGATGCAGAATAAGAAAAAAAAATTTAGAAAACATATTTTCGAAGAGTTGAGCAAATAATATGTTCTAACCAAAATTTTTTGACATGATAGCAAACCTGACAACACTCACATATTTCATTCTACTGAATTTTGGCACTATCAAATTTTGATAAATTTTGGTATTGCCAAATTTTGAAAGGGTTAATTTTAGTATTAAAGTGGATAGACCCTTCAAATATCCTGTGTTATTCACCTTAGTAGGATACGTAGAATATATTGTCTCCCTTCTCATCAGACTCTTTAGCTCAATTGCAGGGAAACTGTCGTTCGTTTGGACTGGCCCAAAGCCATTCGTGATTATCAGAGACCCTGACTTAGCGAGGGAGATTTTGTCCAACAAGTCTGGCAATTTCGCCAAGCAAACGACCGCGGGTATTGCTAAGTTCGTAGTTGGCGGAGTTGTAACGTATGAAGGTGAGAAATGGGCAAAACATCGGAGAATTCTCAACCCTGCCTTCCACCAGGAGAAAATAAAGGTAGCTGTTCCATATGAGAGCCAATCTGCTGAAAATTTTGTTACTTGTTGATTTGATTTGTCGCGAGCAATATTTGGAGATGTTGCACAACATGTGTGGGATGGTGCAATAGCGCAATGTACAAGTACTCGCAACCTTTTCAAATACTGCTCACAACAAATCAAAATCAAGGACTGCAGCACATTTTTCACATTTTCAACTCTTAGCACAGCATATTTCCACATGATAGGTCCGTGTAGTAATATTGTTTTCCGCTGCTTTTATTTTCTAACTTTATATAGTGTAGAATTCATACTATTTTTCGTGGGATATGCCCTCCCTAAAATCTGAATTGATTAACAGTTATCTTTTGCTCACAGCGGATGCTGCCAGTGTTTTTAGCATGTTGCACCAAAATGATCACTAGATGGGTGAATTCAATGTCTTCAGAAGGAATATCTGAGTTAGACGTTTGGGATGAATTTCAAAATCTTACTGGAGATGTCATCTCAAGAACGGCATTTGGGAGCAGCTACCAGGAGGGGTGGAGAATTTTTCAGTTACAAGAAGAGCAAGCTAAACGCGTACTTAAAGCTTTTCAGAGAATCTTTATCCCAGGCTACTGGTTGGTACTTTGCTTTTTATACATTTGGAGGGGGAAAATGGACTTCTGGGAGTAAATTTCCAATAATTTGACAAACAGTTGCTATTATTATCTTCTCTATCATTGAAATAAGGAAAAACTTTTGCCTCCCCTCTAATATAGAGTAATTCTTTAGATTAGTACAGACAATTATGAAAGTAGATTGAATTGTTCTTTTACCCTTCATTTTATATCGCAAATGGAAAATATAAGTCCTTTTATTATGAGAACAATATCATTATTTATTAGGCAAGATTAAGAAGGTAAGAAAGATAATTATAAACTAAGTTGTTGGACTATTTGACATAACACACCGTTTTATAAGCTTTCTAGTGCATTGTGAAATGAAAAAAACATATGATACACGAAATACAGAAGCTTAAAGAAAAGTAGTATTCTTTTTTTATATATAGATGAAAGGATTTGCAAGAGAAGTACATAGTTGATTTTTGTTTTCTAAGAGAATGAATGTGTTTGTGGACATACATTTTGATGCAGCATACATATATACAGATGTCAAAACTACTTTTTTTTCATCCTTTTTATATTTCTGTAGGTACTTACCAATCGAAAACAACAGAAGGATCAGGGAAATTGATCAAGAAATCCGCACAATTCTGCGAGGAATAATAGTAAAAAGAGACAAGGCAGTTAGAAATGGTGAAGGTAGCAATGATGATTTGTTGGGATTATTGGTGGAATCGAATATGAGGCAATCAAATGAAAAAGAAGATGTGGGAATGAGTATAGAAGATATGATTGAGGAATGCAAGTTATTTTACGCTGCTGGTTCGGAGACAACATCAATGTTGCTCACTTGGACTTTAATTCTGCTAAGCATGCACCCTGAATGGCAAGAGCAGGCAAGAGAGGAAGTGATGCACCATTTTGGAAGAACCACACCAGATCATGATGGCTTGAGTCGTCTAAAGATTGTAAGTATGACTTCAACATTCTCTGATGTTTTCCAAAATAGCAAAGTAGTTTATATAAACTTCAGTTCATTTTGAGATTTCATTGCCAGAATAATTTTCTACGGCTTCAGAACAAATTGTTCAAAAACATGTCAACCTTTTGTCTATTCCCCATCAAAATTGATTAGTAAATATGCTTATGGAATCTATCTTTTCCACAATCAAGTGAAATACTAGCTAATTCCAGAGATTTGCTCCCTTCATCCTAATTGTAAGGTGTCCATATTTTAAGGAAAGACAACATTTACAACTTTCGACTAGTAATTAAATTAGCAATATATATTTTTAGTTTTATGCATATAACATCATTAGATTTTTATTTGAAAGTATTTATATGATGCTGATTATGTAATTTGTGATATATGTTATGCAAAAAAAAAGAATTAATGGCTAAAGTTCTAATATGTGAAGACCATGTAAGAAACTTACATTTTAGGATAGAGGAAGTATGTTCCAAGGCCCTGTTCTATTCTTCAACTCCAAACTCCAACTTCCTTGTTTTCCATTAGCACTCTTTTCAAACTGTTAAATGGTGCGTCTTTTTTTTTAAAAAAAAATCTATATAAAAGTTGCTTTTAAAAAACAAATAAATTCATTAATTGTAATAATTAATAGTTAATTAACCATGTACTAATGAGATTTCTCGTTTTGTGTGCAACCTACATTTATCTCCAAATGTGAAGGTCTAACGGGGCCTAAATTTAAAATCTTTGTACCATTGTTATGGTGGACAGTGGTGAAGTTGTGGGTACATGACTTTAACTCAAATCATGATGTTTACAAATACGCCTGCACATGTTTAGTTGGTGTAGAGGCTTTAAGTTATACTTTCATCATCTAAAAATGCTCAGAATAATTGTATCAACCGCATTTATCTTTGTTGTATTTTTGCAGGTAACGATGATTCTCCACGAGGTTCTTAGGTTGTACCCACCGGTGGTATTCCTCCAAAGAACAACACACAAGGAAATAGAGCTTGGTGGCATCAAATACCCTGAAGGAGTGAACTTCACATTGCCTGTTCTATCCATTCACCACGATCCTAGCATCTGGGGACAAGATGCAATCAAATTCAACCCGGAAAGGTTCGCCAACGGAGTCTCCAAGGCAACGAAGTTTCAGACCGCGTTCTTTTCGTTTGCATGGGGTCCTCGGATCTGCCTTGGCCAGAGCTTTGCAATTCTGGAAGCCAAGATGGCGCTCGCCACCATCCTCCAGAGCTTCTCCTTCGAGCTCTCGCCGTCATACACCCACGCACCACACACCGTGCTAACTCTCCAACCACAGTACGGTTCTCCAATTAAATTGAAGAAGCTCTAGTGATCTCGGTCGAGGAGAACATAAAGCTACCCCGTACATGCTGAAATCTAAATCTATATGAATAAATTTCATAAAACTACATGTATTTTAATCAAATTATCACAAACTATAGATTTAACACAATATTTATTAGAGAACTACAAATTTAGGGCCAAGTACAAAACTATAGATTTAATACTAGAGTTATCACAAAACTACAGGTTTTATAGTTTAAATCTCTGCCACTAATGTTACGTTAGAGTTATAAATGTTGCAAGTTTTGTACTTAACATGGTGCCAACAATGTAGTTTTGTGATAATTTTATTACTAAATATGTACTCCCTCCATCCTAAAATAAGCGCACCCATGAGTTTTTTGTGTCTAACTTTGATCGCCCGTATTTTTTTTATGATCAGTACTTTTATTGTTATTATATTATAAAACATGAATGGTACTTGTCGACTTTTTTGAGGTCTCGACTATGATATTTACATGGTATGAAGATCGTCGGTACCAGGGTATATACGAGATTGGGGTAGAAGAGATAAATACAAGGATTTTTATGCAGGTTCGAACCCTTTATCTGACAGGCAATAGCCTTACTCCTATTGGCCGAAGCCGGTGTTGCTCTATATTCATTAGAAATACGCAAGTACAATATTTGGGATAACCTATCTAGTTGTCGTCGACTTGGCAGCATAGATAACCAATACGTAGTCGACGACAGTGTAGTCTTACTCCTCGAATACGAACTTATCGAGATCAGAGATGACGCTAGATCCCTGTTGTCGGCCTCTGTTAACACCAGATTGGGTTTGTTTTAGGCTAATCTCTGATATCGATGTTTGGCTTGTCTTGGCTTGTGTTGGTGTCTATTCTCACTTGTGTGTCGATCTGTTGTGCCCTCTCTCCTCCTAGGAGGTCTTGTATTTATACTCATAGATGTCCCCCTGTCCAAATAGAACTAGGGAGACCAATATGGATACAATCCGAGTAGTCATTGTCATTTCCATACAGAACTTTACTCGTCATTCCTTATCCGGAACTCATTCTATATATGAGGTATGACTCCGTATAAAACTATTGGGTATGTGGTATCCATAACCATGACAATACTTTATGCGAGGCTTATGTTTTTCAGTTTTTTTTAAAAAATAAATAAGACGAATGATTAAAACTGGACACGATAACTCATGGCTGCGCTTATTTTGGGACGAAGGGAGTAGTTTGGGATCTTCCATCTAAAATATGTAGTTTTTTTTTGATAAATTTGGTTCTAAATCTATAGTTTTATGATACACCTTCTTAAATTTATAATTTAGTGATAGTTTCGTTAAATTTTAGTATGTAGTTTTATGTTCTTTTTGACATGTGAAATTTCTGTACTTTTAACTGAAATGAAATATACAGAGTTTGGGAGTACATGAGGCCCTGTTTAATTCAGAGTGAAAAGTTTTTAAAAGTTTTTGCGTGTCACATCGGATATACGGACACACATTTAAAGTATTAAATATAGTCTAATAACAAAGCAAATTACAGTTTCTACCGCGAGACGAATTTATTAATTCTAATTAATCCATCATTAACAAATGTTACTATAGCACCACATTGTTAAATCATGACGTAATTAGGCTTAAAAGATTTCTCTCACGATTTACACGTAATATGTGTAATTAATTTTTATATATTTAATACTTCATATATATGTTAAATATTTAATTAAATATTCGATGTGACCGGAGGAAAAGTTTTCGTTTGCAAAGCTATTTTGCCATGGTTGGGACGAGCTCAAAATTCGAACTCCATTTTGTCACATGTTGGCAGCAGCTGAAATAATTACTCCATCCAACAGCCGGGGCAGGTGAGAGTTGAGACCAGCCAGCCAGAAAACTTTGGGCATCGTTCTCTCCTCTGTCATTGCTGGTCGCCTGGTCCAGAAGTCGAGACCGGAAAGAGACATGCGTTGCTTGGACTCGGGCCGTGACAGACGTGACGCTTCCCTCCCCTCTTCCCCGGCCCACCCGCCACCACGCCAGCCAGGGGCAGAGCACACGATGCTGCTGCTGCTCCCACCGTGGAACACGCGCGGTTCCCGAGGCGGAGTAAATGGAAAGCAGCGACGCCCGTAGGCGGACCGGACGGCTAGACGACGCTCCCCGGCGGGCCCCGCCGTCAAATCCGCCGCGGTTTGGGCCCCACCTCCCCCGCCTACCCTCGTCACTCTCCCTCCCACTCCCCTTTTCGTAATTCCTTCCGCGCTTTCCGAGTTTTTTTTTTCCATTCTTTCTGCTCGCATCAGTCTCCTCCGGCTCCCGCTCCACACCCCCGCCGCGCCGCCGCCTGTCGCCGGCGAAGCGCGCCGCCGGAGAAGAGGCAAAGATGGCTGCGGCACCGGCCTTCCAGCCATTCACCATACGGTAAGCGCCTGCGCCGCCGCTTCTTCCTCGCGTCTGCTTTGCTTTTGACGTGTTCGTTGGGTGCCCGCGCGCGCGTGCGTGCGTGCGTGTGGGTGGGTGGGTGGAGTGGACTGGTTTCTGTGAGCGCGCGCGGCTGGAGCTTTAACTGGTGGAGTGAATGGCGCAGGGGGTTCGCGGCGGGGATGCGGGCGGTGGACGCGTCCAAGTGCTGGCCGTTCGGCCGCGGCGGCGGGGATGGGGAGCCGCCTCCGCCGCTCCCGCCGATGGAGCCGCCGAAGCGGTCGCGGTGGTGGGCGCACGAGCTGGCGGCGGAGCGGGCGCGGCAGGAGGCCCGCGCGACCGGTACAGAGGATGCCGGAGGCGGTGTTGCGGGTGGTGGTGGTTCCGGGAAGGGGGCGAAGAGGAAGGGATCTCGTGGGAGAGTCAGAGCCGAGAGGGCCAGGAAATGGCGGCGATCTCTCCAATTTGGCCTCCTTTCGAAGCGGAAGGTATGCCAGTGCCTCTGCTTTTCAGGGTCTGTGTGCTGCTTGCTGCTCAAGTGGTGGGCTTCTAGGGTTTATGAGGGACCTAAGAACATTCGAAATGTATGATCCTTGCATGTTCAAATGTAGAAGTATTTTTGTGCTGGAAGACATGAACACTCACTACAATGCGTCGAACATGACAGTAAATATGTGCCAATTTTTAGCCAGTTCGGCACTAGCCATTTAATCTATTCAAGTTTGTTCATGTCCTGTTGGTGCTACAAGAGGTCTGTTTCTCGCATTTAGGTCATTATTTTCGCTTTGATTGCAAACAGGAATAGCATTCAGCTTGGATGCATCACGAAGACAATTTGTTGACTATTGATATTAACCCTTTTTAAGTTATATGATAAAAAATTAGATGTTCTCAGACAATATGCTATCTGTCAAATGATAATTCACATTTATATCTGCTCAACAAACGTTTCTTAATCTTTTCCTGCATGGGAATGCTTTGATGACGACGTTGAATCATTGAATATGCCCGCCGTATGCTTTTTTTTTATCAAATTGGTTTACAGACACTCATTAGTAACCAGCAACCTATTTGCATGAAGTTCATATTTCTATGCCTAGTTGTCTTACATTCCTTTTCATCATCTCATAGTAAGACATTTTCATTAACAGGAGAAAACATCATCTCGTTTACTTCACTATGTGTTACATAAGCAACTGTTGAGTAAACACAAAGGTTCTACCCTGCGTACACAGAAAGAACCCTCAGCACAGAAGAGTAAACACAAAGGTTCTACCCTGCGTACACAGAAAGAACTCTCAGCACAGAAGAAGTTTCAAAATACACATGATTGCATGTCAACTCATGAAAACAACCTGAATAAGCAGTACATCAGAGGAATGGATCCTTCTACTGGCATGGGCAGCAACCTGGTCAGGAAAGAGGCAGCAAACTCTTCTGTAAATAAACAAAACATAAAGGCCAGTGAACCAACTATCTATCCTCTAAATCCTGGATGTGAATTGGTGAAGAATGTAGCCTACCCTCCTAAGGATGATATTTTTGGAGATCTCCCTCTTTTGGAAAGTTCTAAAGTAATGTTCCATTCCGGAGTTGATGAACTCCCTACTGTTATAGAAGACTCTTTTGTAACAGATCAAAGTGGACCAGAAGCCATATCAGAAAATGTATCATTGAAACTAATACCACCTTCTGACATGTCAGTACAGACATCATCCACCCTCAAAGACTTGGTGAAAAAGGAAGGAACTCCTGCCAAAAAGTCAATATGCATCTTGCGCAATGACGTAAAAAAGAATCTACCCTCCTCTGCTGAGTTTGATGGCCTAAATCATAATGGTATCAACATGGTGAAAACATGTCTCAGTGATACTCAGCTGAAATCTACTGATGTTCCTGCCTTAAGTTCTTATTCTAACAAAGGTTTAAAATCTGGTTCTAGCAACACGGCCCATACTCAACAAGATTGTTTTTCTATGAATACAAACTACTGTCAGGAAATAAGAAAACCCGGTACTAGTATTGCTACAAGTTCAGTCACTGTAAGAACCAGAACAGAAGCAATTGAAAGTGATAGAGATATGGCAGTCAATAGCAAGAAGAGCACCAGTATCTCTTGTGCATTGGTTCCAACGGAGTGCCATATTTCATCTGAAGGCAGTGTTTTGTCCTCAGCAATATCACAAGGTTCTGCCAGTGCAGCAACCAGTGCGGATGGCATGTCTTCCTACAAGAGTATACCTTCCCAGGACAGTATTCCCACTTCCGGTCTCAATGGTACCTTTGCAAGTAATCTGTTCCGTGAAAGTAGGAAATCTGTTGATACATGCACATCATTATCAAAGGAGGACCAGTGTAGTTGGTACTCAAAACTTCACCCAGTTTGCACTCCAGCAAGCATTGGTTCAGCTTTTATGAAGCTACCTGGTCTTGAAAGAATAGAGATCTCAAGCTGCAATATTAAGACAGATGAAAACATGAGTACCAATGGGCGGCCAGCAAATATAGTAAGATGCGAGAAACAGCAGGCGGTGATTGGTGTGCCCAATATTATGCAAGGCCAGAGAAAAACTGATTTCAGTGATTCTCAAGTTCAGGAAAAAGTTTTAAATGGTTATTTACAGCAAGATGTTTATCATCCTTGCCAACCAACAGTGCGTTTGATGGGCAAGACTGTCTCAGTTTGTGAGCGTAGCAAGGAGCACAGGGTGCCAACTATGGGGAAAGGGTGGAGTGACAGTACCATTGTTGAAGACCACCCATCATCAACTTCATGTCATTTTCCACAAAAGAGATTGTTTCCTTGTCAGGATTCTGTGACACCAAGTGTTCATGTCAAGGGATCTCTTGATATATTACAAAGGATTCCCAGTGTTACTCTACCAGAGGCAAGGGCTACTATAGGCAATGTTCAAAACCGAAGGCTGCAACCAATAAATACTGTTTCTTCAAGTGTCAGAGATTGCATTTGGAACTCTGGCAGTCAATCTGTTCGTCAAGCTGAAATAAAAAGGGCAACCACTATCAATGTCAACTCCAGGGCCAGGCATATAAACCTACATCAACCGCCACAGGTGATAAGCACATCCCAGAATCAACACTGTCAGTTAAGCACTCCATCGATCTTACGTGGGAAAGATTGCAGTTTTTTGGGTCCAGCAGTAACTCAATCTTCTTCCTTTCCACAATGGACTCTAAATACGGGCATCCAGGAAAAGTACCAGAAATCCACATTTTCTTATGATGATCCTACCTCTGCTCCTATTTACCAGTCATGCCAGGTACCTGGAGCAAAGCTATCTTCCACATCAATGATATCCTTTCTAGACTATGGTACTGATAATGCTGAGTTTAGTAGATCTCTACCACAAGCGTGCCCTTCTCTTGCTACTAGTTTGCCAATTAATTTTGTTTCGACCGTTAGCCCAACATGTACCGTCAAACCTACTAACACAGGTTGCAGAAAGGGTGTTGTTTTCACCAATCAAAGAAAGAGACCAGCTTACATCAATAATGTTGCACATGAACCTGCAAAGAAACTTATGGCGAACAAACAGGACTTAGTGGCACCAGTGTTTGAAGAGACGAAAAATCGTTCACTTGGCTGGTCACTGGATGATGCAATTGGTCCTCGGATACTTGACTTTGGTAGTAAAGTAGCAGGACATGGCTTGGAAATGTCAACAAACGAAAGCAATTGTGTAAGGGCTAGTTCAGGTCCAGTTCCTGTTCTTGAAACAAGGTCAATGACTGGAAGGCTGGCTACAGCAGCTAGAACCATGTTGAAGCCAGATCAAACTCTTAATGATCATTCCAAGCTGTTATACTCCACATTCTCGGTTGATAACAGTATTAATTCAGCTGTATTATAGTGGAAAGCAAGAAATAAAACAGCCAAGTGTTCTCGTTCCAGTTTCAGTTATGGAGTTTTTGGTATATGAATAGTCGCAAGGATACTGCTAGCGCAAGAGAGTTGTATCAGCTGTTCGACATTTCTACATGTTAGTTTAGCTATTACTGGATTACTTCTATTTTGTAACTTCTCCGGTCAAATTTGGAGAATATTCATTACGATATTAAATATACATATCATGCCATATCTGACACAAGCAAGGTAACACTTGATTTGTAAAAAGTGTGACAAATTGTGTATTTCGGAGGCGTTCTGTCTCGCAGGTTATGTTTTCTTCGGACCATTCTGTGCTGCGGCTTTTGATCCGGGAGGAGCGGAAAGTAAAAGTAGAGTAATCAGTTTGTACAGGGTTTGTTTTGTCTCTTTTTTTTTTCTTTTGTTGGTATCAGTTACTACTACAACATTTGTTTTGTTTTTGAACGTGAGCGGTGTACGATTTGTACCACTGGAGCAATTATCACTACTAGTTGGATACTTAGATCAGTAATGTCAGTGAGACATTGCTGCTGAAAATGGCCGCTTGCTTTGCTTTGAACTCTTTGCTAGTTTACCTTTGAGCTTGCCCGTCTGCCACTCTGCCCGTGTTGTCCTACTTTCAATTGAAAGTGGCTATAGTGAAAGTGTCTCTCTTACTATTAGATTCATCCGTCTTGCCTTCAGCTAATTAGCACGGGTGAGACAAAAGCAGATGCTGGAAAAAGTACTGGCTTCTTCCAGAAAGCCGCGCCATTTCTGAACCGAGCCCACTAAACTTGAGTTCAGATGCCTCTCCTCTGTAGTCTTCTGATTATGGAAACTTTGACAAGGTGCAGATGCACGCAGTTGCTTGAGAACCTCCCAAAATCCAGCCCAGTTTTGTTCTTTCTTTCCTTGGATCAAGAGTAAAGAAGACTTCGCACAGTATCTGCAAGGATGCCTTCCTTCTGCTACTTTAATCCCATATTTAAAATCCACTGCAGAAGTATAAAACCATCTAGCCTATCGCTCGCTATCTACACCTTAGTACAACGGCTCATCGAGGACATCGAGAAAATTCAGAACAAAGCTCTTCACCGATCGCAACAGCGGATCATGGGTGTTCTAGGTGCCCTTGCTAGGCACATGGATGCCCTTGTTGGGTAAGAACATGCTGCAATATCTTCTCATTATGTGCCTTATGTTTTTCTTATAAGAGTTTTCAGACAGCAATTGCTGTTCTGTTCATTCTGCTTTCATGTATGTTACTTCCCATATGAACTTTTAAGTGTTTCTTTCTGAAATTCTTGTCCTTGCTGTTTTTTGTACCCGGCAGGCCAGGAATCATGCTGCTCTACCCTCTGTAAGTGAAGCCATAGCTATTCTTCAGAAACATTTCTTGGCGTGAAAAGAAAGGGAAAAAAGCCAGCACTGTGCTATCAGTTCTAACAGAATTTTTTTTTCTTGAACGATTAGATACGCGTCGATGCGTGCGATAGAGAGCCCTTCTACCCTGGATGATCAGCAATGGCTCACCTACTGGGTCCTCTACTCCCTGATCACCCTCTTTGAGCTCTCATGCTGGAAAGTTCTCCAATGGTATGCAACACATTCACTCATTCCTGCAGAGATCAAAAGCACAACGTGGTCAGGTTACTGAATCTTTTTTTTTTTTTACCTCTGAATCCTTCAGGTTTCCTCTGTGGCCGTACATGAAGCTCCTCTTCTGCTGTTGGCTGGTGCTGCCAATCTTCAACGGCGCGGCCTACATCTACGAGACCCACGTGCGCCGCTACTTCAAGATCGGCCAGTACGTGAGCCCCAACTACAACGAACGGCAGCGGAAGGCGCTCCAGATGATGAGCCTCGACGCGCGCAAGTCCGTCGAACGATTCATCGAGTCGCACGGCCCTGACGCCCTCGACAAGATCATCCGAGCTGTGAGTGATTCTTCAGAGTTCAGACCAGCCGGTTGCTGCATGCATCTGCAGGCTTTGGAATGTCTGTTTCATTTTCTGAATTCTGATGCCATGTCTGGTTTTTTGTGCTTTGCAGGCTGAAGAGGAGGCAAAGAGAGCGTAACGATGGTTAAGATTGTGGTGAACTGAAGGCATTCTTTCCAACGGGGAGAAGTAAATGGAATTGTGTAATGGCTGCCGTGTATTGCAGGCTTGCAGCTCACTTCACCTCGTCTGTACTTGTGTGTGCCGTGTGTCTGAAATGTTCGTTGGCTTGGCAATGGCAAAGATACCTCTCCTACAAAACTGGCAAGATACTTGGATACTTGAGAAAAAGGTTGCCATGCATACAAAGAATGAGGAATACATCTATTCGGTGTACAGTTGTATGAAAAATCTCCGAATCTAAAATATGTCTTGTCTGAACATATTTATCTGTGCTCTCTCCAGCACTGAACACATCTATAAACCGAAGAACCGAATGCCTGTTCTCTCCTCTCTCACCCATCAAGATTCCAGGCACGCAGTAGGTTGAAAACGACTAGGAAGACACCAATCCTTATGACAACAATTATTGCCTACCCGGTACAAACCGAAGTAATATAACCACCTCAAAAAAAGGGGAAAAAAAGAGAGAGTTACACCCTTTAGCTTGTGGGCGCTGGGAATCTTGAGGCTGCGTGCGTATGTATGTATGTATATACTGAGCCGCGAGCAGCTACCGATCCGATCGATCTCAGACGGAGGCGAGCGTGGCGATGTCCATCGGGTAGGCGTCGTTGGGCGACTCGGCGCGGTAGGATCGCCGGCCGACGATGATGTTGGCCGCCTCCGACGGGTGGAACGCGTCCCAGAAGATGTGCTGGTCCCTGTTGCTGCACGGCGCCTCGTACGGCAGGCACGTCACCTGCCCGTTGTTCCTCCCGACGCCGCAGCACCCCGCGGTGGTCTCCGTGAACCCGTACGACGCCGCGTTGGCGAGGATGTCGCTGAAGATGTTGTACGCGTTGATGAAGGTGAAGTGCGCCCCCGGGAGGGTGTTCATCTCGTCGACGAGGCCGACGAGACGCCGGTTGAAGATCTGGATGGCGGAGTCGATGCGGGCCACGCAGGTGGCGCCGTCGGCGCTGTACCGGGCGAGCTCGTTGGGGCTGCACCCGACCTGCCCCACGCCGATCATCACCACCTTCCGCGCGCCGTAGTTGTACAGCACCTGGACGTACCGGCGGTAGTCGGCGATGAGCGAGTCGGCGAACTGCTCGGGAGTGTACTGGCTGCCGGTGTTGTAGAACGCCGGCATGAAGTAGTTGTTGAGGTAGTCGTTGCTGCCCATCCCGACGCTGAAGATGCACTTGCTCAGGCGGTCCGACGCCGTGTCCTGGTCCCCCAGGATGCTGATCAGCGTCTGCACCGCCGTCTGGTAGTTCTGCACCTGCCCGGCGAACGGGATCCGGCCACCCTGCAATCCCAAGCATGCATGAGTGACTTAGTTTAGCTACAACTTCCACCACCTCGTGCCATCTGATGAGTAATACTTGTACTACGTTACCAGCTGCTGGCCGGTCTCGGCACGGATTCCGGCGGCGGCGGAGGCGAAGTTGGCGCCGTTGAGGATCTGATCACCGCTGGTGGCGGCGTACGGCGGGATGAAGTTGTCGAAGCCCAGGAGTTGAGCTGCGGCATTAATTCGCAAAATCAGTCCACAAAATTAGAGAATCATTCGAACATCTACCTAATTAATGCACGTACTAATACACGGAGTAGCTGATTTGAGATCATGCAAAGTTCCGGAAGTACTAGTAATTAATTATGTGCTCTGGCACGTACACGCCATGCAACTTCCACATGTAGGCATACTTTAACGACGACTATCAGACTATGGAATGGATCTTTGTACACCTGGCTCCCATTAAATTCCGTGCAACGATCACCGAACTGTACTGGCATATGCATTGCAAATCGTCTCTGCTGCGTACGTACACGGGCAAGCTTACCACAGCAACAAGCTACCATCTCCCCATTCTCCTAACTAACATCTGCTCAGAATTTTCTATTCCACATCAGCTGATCGATCGCTCGTTCAACGAGCTCAGCACGTGCATCACCATGACGGCCATAAACCCCTGGAGATCAGCTAGCTAAAATCTGCATGACTATACACTTTACACGTAGCTGCCGCTGCAGCAGCAGCAGCAGATAGCACAACGTTGGTGTCTTACCGATGACGTCGACGGTGGTGAGGCCGTTGGTGAACCGGCCGGACGGGCCGCCGGCGAAGTCGATGCCGTAGGGCGGGTAGTTGGCGCGCGCCAGCGAAACGATGTAGTTGTTGTTGCCGTTGTCGACGAGCGAGTCGCCGAAGATGAAGTAGCACGGCACCTGCGGGTCGCACCTCGCCACCATCACCAGCGCCGAGCTCACCGCCGCCGCCATCACCACCGTCACCAACCGCCCCAACTCCATTGCTGCTCTGCTCTAGCTAGCAGCAGCTACACTTGCAGAGCACACAGCCGAGGAAGAAGGGGGAGATATGTGGGCACGATCACTCGAATAACCCTGAGGAGCGCGAGTCACGCAGGAGTTTATATAGGTGCAAGGCAGGGCTACCGGCGGCTAACTTTTGCAGGACCGGGGCGCACAATTGTGCATGCATGCATTGGAGGCTAGCTACCAGTAAACTGTAAGTCCGTACTACTCCAGCTAGTACAAGTGGTAGTGCCATAGCTTGTGATACTCTAGCTTTTTTTTTTTTTGTTCTTGAACCGTGCATTGAATTGCAGTAACGTGCATGCATGGCCGTGTGTCCTCTCGCTTAAAAACCAATTCAACATCACGACACATTCGCGCATGGTGCGGTCATCAAGCAGAAGTTACCTGTACGTCCGTCCGTCGTCGACCAGTGAGATAACGAGTGATCTGCAGTGAAGTTTCGTCGGTGTCACTGGTCTGGCAGCTGTGCGTACCTGGATCTGCAGCTTAATTAACCAGACGGCCGGCCCCGGTGGATCTCACTTCATTTATTCCGGCCGCGCGCCGGCGGCCAACGACGCGAGCGCGCAGTGAAGAAGAGAAGCAGTCTGTTGTCACTGCGATGCGTGTACGCACGAGTCAAATCAGTTACTACTACTGCATGCGTGAGATGCGGTGCGTACTGTGTAGAGTGGCGTACGTGCAGACAGTGGAGTCGCAGTAAACAGTTGTGTGGGTCTCAGTTCATTCGATCAGTACTGCGGTGTTTTTGCGCATGTGGATCTCTCGTTCTCTCTCCCTTGTTGCGACGTGGTCCGACAATCTGTAGATAACTGGAGTACCTATAGGGTGATTCCGTCACTGTGCTTGACAACACTGTTTTTAATGTGGCTAGCAAAAGCGTTTCGTTCCATGAGAAAATTACTACTACTAACAAACAATCAAAGCTCGGTACTTAACAAGGGAAAGCTTCTGGATTAAATAACCCCATCCAATTTCGCCACATGCTAGTATGAAAGTTTCTGGAGCATGTACTTCCAAGTTACTAGTATACAGTAGTGTTGAAAATTTCAAAGCTTTCTCCTACACTGCAATGCCGGGACAACACGATCAATAATCTAACCCCAAGCGCCAAATTTGTCATTGCAGTTATTACTGACACTGGGGTGGGACATCCTTGCTCGTCAGTGCCCGATAACTGCTACCTGTAGCTGCTAAATGCACCTTGGACCAGCTAGATCACCCCGTGAGATAAGGCAGCATTGCAGCTGCCCTTCTCTCCTCTTCTTCCTCCCAAACAAACAGTAATAAAAAAAGGTAATTTGGAAGAAGATGAAGCACGCGGCAGCATGGAGGAGGAGAGCATACATACATTTACATGGAGCTGGGCAGCAGCTCCATTAATGGCGGTTGGAGGAGTGGCCGTGACCGCCTTCAAGTGCCAGCAGCGCCGACGGTACAGTGTACAGCAACCCCCCAAATCATTTTCCCCTCCCAAATAATCCCCCCCCCCCCCCCCCCCCCGGGCTTTGCCTTCGCAAAGCAGCCAGCGTCTCTCCTCTCCTGAGCCGATCGATCGAGCTGGCCTCCATTTCCTCGCCGCTCGAAGCCACTCATGGCGCACATGCGTACCTCCATGCATCAGGGACAGACAGGAGATCTAGCTAAGGTAGCATTCTAGTAGAGACTCAGATGGATGGATAGATAGCGGCCGGGGTCAGCAAGGAGACCTGACCTACCACGGCGGCGCTTTACTCTCACCTGCAGCGACGCGTTTCTCTTCTCTCCTGCTAAACTCATTCGCACGAGCTCTCGTACTACCACAGCGGACGAGCAACGGAGAGACTCTTTCTGGTTACTCCATGTAATATAAGGGATTTTGAAGGGATGTGATATTTTCTAAAACAATGAATCTGGACAAAATCTAGACAGGGTTATTCAGATTGAATATGGACAAAATCTAGACATGTTTGTTCAGATTTATAGTCCTAGCAAGTATCACATCCCTTTAAAATCCCTTATATTATGAGATGGAGGGAGTAATATTAACATGTTAATTGTGTAGGCGGGTGGTGCAATGCAATGCTAGCATGGTCATGGATGTGGATGGAGTAGGAGGGTGGCAGCTAGTGTTAAGACCGGTAGTATCCTGGACCTGCTATTCTCTAGATTTCTGCAGTGTACTCCAGTGTACACATGACACAGCTGAGAGTTTGGACCTGGAGTCGTATGCATGTATGAGTATGATTGATCCCAGCAATTTCCCTCTGCCAGATTAAGGGATCTGGGGACTGGGGGTCATTAGCTTTTAGTTAGCTTGGAAAATGGTAAGTTGTTGTATTTGCAACATTGTGCAAACATGGTTCATAATGTGGCCACTATCTTTAATTAGATCCTAAGCCCGGGCCATTTTTCTCTTTAAAAACGAGGGAACATCCCGGCTCCAGTCCAGCTCCAACAAGAAAAGTCAGAAAACTCTGGATCCAGCGTCTTATTATTCGGCATTTACAAGTCTAGCTCCATTAGCAATTCATAGTGACTCCGCTTGGCCTTTGTTAGTGCACAACTGCACATTATATTCCGCACAGTAGCAAGGCTTCGTTTGATTGGATAGCATGTCTAAAGGGGATCGAATATACTAGCCATAAACACAATGAGTTGGTGAACAACTTAGCCTCCAATATAGGTGAAGATCTGATGTCGACCGACCTGTTCAGGGATGATGACAGACCACGGCAGTCCGATCAAGCCAATTTTAACGCCGGATCAAGCTGCATTAATGAACAAATGCATGAAACATATAACATGGTTAGGTGCTCTTTTGCCTTAATTCCTCCAATCGTATTGCCAATCACCAACATTTATGTACTAGACAGCTTGAAACGCAAGAAGTAGCTACTAATAGTAGCGTAATGAACACTATCAGCATGATGAGCGAAGCAACCGCATAATTGCTGCTCCTGCTTCTTCTTCTTCTTGTTTTTTTTTTTTGCCTCAATGGCCATGTTTGGATCCTCCGGGCTATTAAATAGCCCTTCGGAATCTTACTATTTAGGAGTATTAAACGTAGATTACAGACAAAATCCATTCCATAACCCCTGAGCTATTTTGCGAGACAAATCTAACGAGGTGTATTAATCCATGATTTACTACAGTGATGCTACATTAATCATCCGCTAACCATGGATTAATATACCTCGTTAGATTCGTCTCGCAAAATAGCCTAAGGAGGTTTTGTTAGTAATCTATGTTTAATACTCCTAAATAGCAAGATTCCGAAGGGCTATTTAATAGCCCGGAGGATCCAAACAAAACCAATATACTACTATTAGTTACCTGATGGATATCAAAGTGCTCAGCTGCTTGCTGAAGAAACGTCTGGCCTTGTAGTTTGAAATATCTGCACTCAATCTGAAGCAGTTTTAAATGCATGCATGAAATTTATGGGCTTATGGCAAGCAGCCAGACACCATCCTTCCTAACTTTCACGCAGCAGAAACGCTGAAACGGTCACACTGCATACGCGAATTACAGAATAAACGCTCACATTGCAACAAATAAGTAACCACTTACAGTGCATGAGCCCAGCCAACCACTAATTCCAACTAGCACTGATTCAAGCCTGCTAAGACAAGACATAATAGCATTTTCCAGTGGTTAAACTTTCAATTGAACTCTTTTGCACGCTCAATACGGGGGAGGAAGTTGTTTGTCCCTGCATTGACAGTAAGCAATAAGGATAACTTCACAGCAGGGCCCAGAGAGATAAGCATGGGGTTGGGCCTGAATTTTGTACAAAATCTAGTGTTAACCAATCAGACCAAGCAACAACCCAAGTGGCCAAGTACTTCGCCGAAGTTTTTGACTGAACTTGTGGTTTACTACCGCAACACATTCTAACACTAGAAGTCTAGGGCATGACAATAAAAGGGAAAACAAAGGTGGCAGCGGAGCATCAATTGTACAATACAGTAACCATCGGGATTTTATATTTATGATACTTTATTATAGATTAATCAAGACTAACAAAGTTTGGAGACGTCCTGAGCTGTACATGGGGCACATTTAAGTTTCACTTGGTGCATTACCAGCAAAAGTTGGGAACTGATGGAGACTGATGTTAATTAAACAATGCTCGGCTCAAAGTATCTGTATCCAGCAGTGAAGTCTTGTAGAACTCTGTTGTTTGCTCAGTCTGCTTGTAAATTGTCAGGAATTCTAACTGTAAGATTAGACAAAATTAAACAGGTATGTTAGATTGCAAGACCCGAGCTATTAGAAATAGATATAAAAGGCATCTCAATTCAACTTGACCCTAAATACAAGCGCAAATAAGGCCTAGTTCATTAATTCGGCACAGCTTACTGGGAAAGTGACACCAGGAAATGTAGGATTGTAGGAGTACAGCATGCTAGAACTGCACAAAAGGCAGCATTTAAGAACATGGGAGTAGTCAACAGTCTTAACTACTAATAATATGTCACCCTAGCTACAATTCAAGCTATACATAAAAAAAACAATGAGGAACAGGCCAAAGGGCACCAATTAACAAAAAGATATTTCAGCAACCAACGAAGATAATGAAATTAATGGCATCTTTATAGAAAATGTGCTTAGAGCAGGTACAATAGCAGGCTATAAGCCAACTATAAACATATTTTAAAGAGTTAAAGGAAGAGAGAGAAGAGCAGCGGGCTACAGATCTGTAGCCAGCTGCAGCACAGACTCCAAGACGTAATGTGTGTATGGCAGGTGGGACCAGGTATTAATAGTATAGTAAGCAACTGTTGTACTATGAATTAGCTATTACATTGGCTATAAATAATTTGGAGCTAGTAGTAGGCTATACTATTAAACTTGCTCTTATAGCAAAGTTACATGAACATTCTCCCTGTGGAAATTTGTTTACTATTTCCTCAAGCATAATGGAGACAAAATTAGCCAACCACTATCTTTGGGTCTGTTGCTACAAGATATTTTCTTCATTGTAATTTTATCCTTAAGCTGAAAAGCAGTGAATTCTGTATGAACTTAGATGATGGACTGTGTGCTTCATGGTTGGATTGAAACATTGTTTATAGACATTTTGATATGCACTTTACTGTGGTTTAAAGTTCACAAGATTTTGCATGCAGAATATCTCAGAATTTTTGGATTTCAATTGTTTGGATGTCCACCGTTAATTGTGGTAAAGTCCAATCTGATCCTTTTCAATATAAGGTCAACAACAGCTTTACCTAACCAGTTCAAGGTGGAAGAGGATTATTTGGAGCAAGATGATTATAAGTAGGGCTACTACTGGGGAGGATATGGGCAAGGAGGAATTACACCCATTTGAGTTTTGGGTATGGGGAGAGTAATACCCCGCTTTTCCCACTTTAACCGTACCCATTCAATCTGAGTAGAAGTAGAACTACGTTCCCAAATTTTTTAAGCTCACATTCACATTATAAAAGGTTGACAAATTAGGATGAATTTCGTAGGGGTGATCTATTATTATATAGAAGAGCAACCTTGTGCAACTTATGGGCCATTTATGTATGTGGGGGTCCACATATGTTTCTTGTCTTACCCATTGGGTAACACCCATTTTATTTGGGTATAGATAAGCTAATTTTGAAATTTGTATAGGTAAAGCTAGGTATGGATAGGCCTAATAAGAATTACTTGATATTTATCAGAAGTTCCTTGTTTGGACCTGTAAATGCAAGATAGTGGCAACACGCCAACACTACAGACAAGTATATTTTGTTTTATTTTTTTTTCAAAATATTAAAGATGATTGTAATCAGAATTGACAAAGGTTTTACTTGATCCACCATTCAGAAGGCATAAGATCCTTATCAGTCTAACCATCCTAGGAATGATAGCGATTTATATTTGAAACAAGAGTACAAGGGCCTTCACGGTTTATGAGTATTTAAAATAATATTAGGGCTCCTTGGAAATTAGGGATTTTACAGGATTTTTGAAGGAATTACTTCAGTTCCTGTAAAATTCCTTTGTTCCAAAGAGGCTAAGGAGCAAACTGTGTTCGGAAGGATAAATAAATAAATCTGCTGTGCTGAAAACACCTTCTTGTGGATGAAGCAACATGGATCATGGTAACTAGTGGCTAATGCAATAATGTACTTTTTGGCTGCATAACATTGCTGCATGCAACACCATAAATCAAGGCCCTAGTTATGGCACAACTTTGTAAACATCGATTCTACAGTACAGAAATTTTGTATTGGCACAAACAGGAATAACTGTTATACTGTCAAAAATTCAACTAAGCCAAACTGGTTCCCAAGGAACAAAATTTTATCATAGTTTGAGTTGCAGTATCAGTAATATTTAGGGTACTTTATTTTTTTATATTAGCAAATGATATTCTGCTGAAGACTATAAGATAGCTTAAGTGATCAAACTACAAACTGTCAGGATCACCAAATTGGAGAGGCATTAAATGTGTTGGACAAGAACCGCTGAATCAGAAGCATTCTTCGTTGGTGGAGGACATAATGAACTTCTGTACTTTCGTGTTCTAGATTCCATGCTTGGATATGGCTATTAGTGATCAATAATAATGTACATAGCTCAAATCTGAATAATTTCAACCGCAAAAGAGGGATCACATAACAAAGTATGCCCTCAACTGCACGGAGATTATATCAAGACAGAGCTGTTCTTATTTAGGACAATATGATATGCTGCAGAATATTTTAGCAATTACTATTGCTTTCAGCAACACATCAGGAATGAGACTATGACCTTTAAGCTTAAGGTCTTATAGAAAAAGATTTCCTGGAAATCCTGCAGGTTTGTGGCAATGTACTTCAATAGGTATCACTGCTTTATGAAATTGAAAAAAAATGCTTCTAAATATTGTAAATTTCATTTGAATTATAGCCGTTTGCTTTTACAGCATAGTAATAACAGATAATCGAGGGGAAAAAACAAAGAGTTAGTCAATACAGATTATTACATTAGGTACTGTGTTGTACTTGTACCCATTTCATTAAGTGAAAAGTTCGCAAACGAGTATCTGCGGCAGTAAATACTTATTTCCAAAATGTCATATAAACAAAATGTTTTTATGAGCACCGTGTTACATAACACCTAGTGTATGGATTCTCGGATTCTACACAAAAATAGCCAAATACCCATGCATTGCAATGGATTCAAAGATATATATGTATGATCATTTTTAAACTTGAAAAATTGTATATGATTCTCATTTTCTCAGGGAAAAAAGTATAAAGATTGTGCCAAAAGCAACTACTCCTATATGGCATTACATATTTACATGATTAGTATATACTAAACTTATTTTGCTACTAAAGTTGAAATTTAAATTGCCACAAGTATTAAAAATTGGGCCAAAAAAAAAGCACCAGACTAGAGTACTTTGTAGCCATGGAAGGCTGTATGAGTTGCAATACAGGTTGAGGTGTGCATGGCGTTGGTTAAAGGGCAATCCTTTAGTATGTTGGCGAATGAGTTCTCTTTGATACTTTACCTTTTTGTTTCTTACGCAAGCACATCTATCATGTATCATAAGCAAGAAAGAAGAAAAAAGGAACAGATGAAGGGAAAATGGCATAATTTGTGGCACGGTGATGTGCATGATTGATCAGGAATAGCCTTGTTATTTATATTTACCATCTCTCCATCAATTTAATTAACAAGCATGTTGTCCCATCAGGAACTTGTTAACTGAAGAATAGCTGTCACCGTACATGATGTTATGTTATCTTGATGTAAACTTTACAGACGGTAGTTTGTTTCACACCCCCTTCCATGTTGATAGAGTCAACCGTGGCATGTGGATGTAAAATGCATAATTTTCCTCGCATGTATTTATATAGAAAAAGAACAGCATAGAATGATTATGAGTTATATACGAGATCACCGCTAAATCCAGTCAACCATGAATGATCAGTAACGGTTAACATTCAGTATTCACTAACCACTAGAAGCCGTGTATCAATAATGAACACTTCGCAATGGTTATCAACTTTTCATTAATTATCCACCAGAATATGTGTATCGATAATGAACACTTCGCAATGATTACGATTCATTAACCACTAGAAGATACTACCTCCGTCCCAAATTAGATGTTGTTTTGACTTTTTGCTTGCAACGTTTGACCATTCGTCTTATTTAAAAAATTAGTGCAAATATTAAAAAAAAATGTCATACTTAAAGTACTTTTAATAATAAAGCAAGTCACAAACAAAATAAATAATAATTCCATAATCTTTTGAATACGACTAGTCGTCAAACGTTACAAACAAAAACTCAAAACGACAAGTATTTTGGGACGGAGGGAGTATATTTCAACTATGCATCTTCACACAAAAATTTTCTCGGGTATGAAACGCTGGGTATAATATCACACCGGTAGTTACTAGGTGGTCTGCAGGATGTAATGTTAACCGAAGTTCTGGATTTCTAATACTGAACTTAAGTTTAATTTCATTAGTTCAAATGAAAGAACAGGAGCACAGCGAGTCTCCAATGTACCAAACCTCAAAGTTCGTTGTGGCGCGAAGAAGTCCTTGTGGCCCCAAATAAGAGATCTTTGGCAATGACAAGCAACCCCTCCAAGTCCTTAGCTCCCACCTTGAGGCAATCCTTCAGCAGCTCCCCTTCCTCCACTTCCCACTTCACATCCATCACCACCTCTCGTAAAGGCCCCTAAACCACAACACAGATCTCCATAAACTGAACATTGCTGCAATTTGGATGCCAATGATTCATGAATCACGAGTACCAAGTCAAGTCATATACCTGCTCGGAGAAGGCAACAAGGAGACCGTTGAGGAGCTGCGCGGCCGCGTCGCGGACGTCCCCGTAATTGCGGCGCAGCCACTGGGCGGCGTCGGTGGCGGAATGCAGGCGCGAGACCTCCGCAGCAGCAGCGAGGAGGCGAGCAGCGGCGGTGGCGCAGGAGAGGCCGCACCCGGCAGCCGACGAGAAGGCGTAGTGGCGGAGGTAGTCCCAAGAGAGTGCCCACGCGCCGCGGGATGAGAAGAGGGAGAGATGGGAGGCGATCCTGCGCGCGCGGGACGCCGCAAAGTCGTCTCCACGGGCCGCGCGGGCGGCGGCGACGCGGTTGAGGAGGGAGCGGGAGAGGTTGAGGAGGGTGGCGACCTCGCGAAGCGGGACGCGGAGCGCGGAAGCACGAGGAGCCCCGCCGAGGAGGAGGAGGACGATGAGGAGGAGAGTGGGGGGGAGACGCGAACGTGTAGCTCGCCGGCGGCGAGGGGCTCCGGCTAGGGCCATTGGAAATCGGAGGTAGCGAGGGGCGAAGAGCCGAAGGGGAGGTTTTGGGCTGGAGAAAAGAATTATGGAAGTTAAGCTACTAGCCCATTCTTTTCATGGGCCTTACCGCCTTCGTAAGTGGATCTGAAGAAGGAATAAGTTCATCTTGACTCCCTTAACTAGTGATCGAATCTGATTCGTATCCTTAAATCACAATATCGGATATCTCGATCCCTCAACTATTACAACCGGTACAATTTGACTACCTTGACGATTTTGGAGGACAGTTTTGCTAACGTGACATCTACATGACAGTGTGTGACCTAATATGTGATGTTGACGTGGCGCTAGGATTGAAAACATATATGTGAAACCCATTTGTCATTTATACACACAAAAAAAAATGTAGGGCCCACTCTCTCCTTCTTCCTCCTCTCTCTCTCTCTCTCCCTTCTCTCTCTTTCTCGGCCATCTCTAGGCCAGACACCACGATGCCCCTAGCGACGTACAACACCCCTCCCACACTTGCACCGGTGCACCCGTCCCTCCGCCGCAGCGCCTCGCCGACCACGTGCCACGCGTCAGCTTCCGGCTCCGGTGGGCACGCACTCTCGAGTCACGCCGGTGAGCGCGTCGGCCCCGCGGCCGATGAGGAAGACATCCTGGCCTATCACACTGCGCGGGCATGCATGAACAAGAAGCCGTCGCAATGCAGCGGGGTCAGGGGCAACAGCAGCATGGCGACCTCGATCATGGGCACGGAGGCGTCGAATTAGAGCAGTGCTTGCACGATGCAACCGTCCTCGAAGATGGAGAGAGCGAGGAGGGAGGGGGTGGAGGTAGGCGTGGGCGCGACAGAGGTGGGGCATGGCAAAGCTGTGGACTGTGGTAGACCGCGGGGAGCGGAGGGAGGGAGGCGGGGGGGACACGGGCAAGGCACTCGACGTTGGGAAGGGTGGAGATTAGGGCTAGTGACCTATGTTACCTCGATACGGTGATACGGATACGGATACGCGATACGTCGATACAGGGATACGGCATTTTCAAAAAACAAGGATACGGGGATACGCTTATATATTTTTATATATATTAGAAATACAAAATATTAAGGATTTTTTTAAGAAAATAGCAATATAATACTAGTATTAGTGCAGTTGCAGTCCATTCCATGGCCATCCTCTCCAACTCTGCTATAGTTGACGAAGCGATTTAAGGCTCCCCCCAAAAAAAAATTTGTGTGTAATAAAGCGCAAGACTACAAATAGCATACAAAGCGCAAATTAATAGTTCAATCAACACAGTTGCTCTTGATGGATGTGCATCAACATTAGCAGCCGCACTACCCTTAGAATTGCTAGATGCACTAGCACAGACTGCACAGTAGCATTTGGAAGTTGGATCTAACAAAAACGATAGTCCTTGACTACTTATCCTAAAATAAAATAATAGAGGCATTGCAGATCAAGCAGATCAAGTAGTGAGGGAAACAAATAAAAAGCTGCATGGGTGCTTCGATGCAGCTGGTGCTGTCTTGCCTTGGGCGGTGACGGCCCTGGCCGGCTGCCACCCGGCCTCTAAACTCGTGGCGGAGATGCTGTGCGGCTGTGCATGTGTTGCAGAGCAGGTGCTGTGCTGCCGGGTGCGGCGACGACGCAGTTGCTACCCAACGTGTGGTGGCGACATCGAATCACTGCATCGGGATGGGAGACAACGAGACGGCGGCTCTGCATCGAATCACTGATATGTACGGGATACGTATCCGGACGTATCCGATACGTATCCCGTATCCGTCACGTATCTGAAACGGATACGCGGCCTAGAAGCCGTATCCAGGTAACGTAGCTAGTGACGAGGGACGACGCAGTGGTTGCGGGGTGGGGGCAAAGAATGGGGATGGCGATATGGCCAGTGGGGTCGGCTGGGATGCATGACTTGACGAGCCATGAGGCCGTTGCTACCGCCGCGCTCCAGCTCCCATGCTCACGCCGACACCGCTGCTCCGGCTCTCGCCCGCCCGCCACCGCCGCTCTGGATCCCCCTGGAGATGACCGAGAAACATAAAGAGAGAGAAGGGAGAGAGAGGGAGGAGGAATGAGATAGGGGATGGAAATGTGGGCCCCACATGTCAGTAGGGCTCTTTTTGTGTGAATGACAAATAGGTCCCACATATTGCAGACTAGATCAACAGTGCCACGTAGACGTCACGTCAGCAAAACCATCCTCCAAAACCGCTAAGGAAGTCAAATTGCAATGATTTTAATAGTTGGAGGATCGAGATATCCGGTATTATGGTTAAGGATACAAATCAGATTCGGTCGCTAATTATGGGAGTCAAAGTGAACTTATTCCTCACAAGAATGCTAAGCATTTTAGGACTTCTGACCTATATATCCCATTCATTAAGTGTTAACCCGTACAAAATATGTGTTTCTGTATACATACAAACACTTCGGTTTCCTTAAAAAAAAAAGATAACACTACTGTTTGCCAAGCATATGCTTTGATTTGTTGTCAAACTCTGCTGCTCTGTTAAACTGGACTATTTATAGGTTGGATGTGGCACATGTCCATAGTTACGACCTAGTAAGAAATTCCCTATGAAACCAAGGTCGTTTTGATCTCGGACTCTCAACTACAAAGCGAGTAGTTTCACGATGTGTATTGTCTGTTTTGAAAAGGATTGCACGGAGCGTATGCAAGTAGACTTCGAGCAAGGCGTGCTTACCATAGATTGGCCTGACACCTCCTAGATTTATCTGCACAACTCCATCTAGGTTTGACAACCTTCTTGTCAAAGATAGGTGATAGGCACTGCTAAGTGACGAGGGACCAGCGGCCATATCACTCTGAGTGACTCCTCCATGTTTTTATCCACTGAACAATGCCCGGTGATCAGCCCGGATAATAGATAGAGAGCCTTCGTATCGGGTCAACTATACATAGACACGCATGCCAGTATGGCACATATAGAAGGAGACGACGAACCGGTCGGTTTCCATCTATCCAAACACCGATCAGCCAAACCAAACCGTCTCCGATCGTAGCTTTGCGAGCGTGCGGCGTGCCTGACGCTGGACAAAAAGGGCGATGTGGACGCCCAAAGAGAAGTATGTGCAATAGGAGACGCCGAGACGTACGTGCTCGGCGTCGAGCCATCGTATTCGTATTCCAATACGGCCGATGCAACCAATCGTCACAGCATCAATCGGTACTCAGTTCCCCTTCGAACAAGGCACTGCATGCCTGATGATGATTCTCTTCGCTCTTTCAGTCCTTCTGATGAGAACACTCACGCTGTCACGCAGGCATCAAACTAGTGGATGGTGAATACATGTGTGCGTTGCAGTGTCAGAAAACTGTAGTAGTGTATGCTTGGTCCAATCCAGCCTTAGAGATTTTCCCAAGTATAGGTTCACCACTACTCCAAGTTGCAAGCAATGAACGAGATAGGGAGCACTAGAAACGCGGGTAAAAAAAAGGTTTAGAAAATGAAAGATACTCTCGTATCATGTCAGCCCCGGAGGATCAGTCATTCAGATTCCACTGTCCATTTCTGATTTCTCTGCTTCCCCGTCCTATACATACTATGTAACATATCTTTTCGATATATTATCTATCACCTAATCGGCAGCACTTGCAATGTACTACTATATAAACACCTACTGTAATCGGCAGCACTTGCTTTGTGTACTATATAAACACCTGAAGTCCTACTCCTAAGTCCTAACCAAGCGGCCTATCAGCCAAATTACAGAGCAGGATACGGGCATCTTCAGAAGAAGACGATGGGAGGGTCAATGGCCACGTCGAGCCTTCTGTTCCTCCTTGTTCTCTCTTCCTTCTCCACAGCCTCAGCTGCCTTCACCAAGCCACGCCAGGTAATCGATCGTCAGTTCATTTCTCCGGTCCGGCTATGATGGCGCCGTAGTCTCCAGTCTCCGGCCTCCTACTTTCCATGAACTGAATAGACGAACTCCTCTTTCATCTCGCCATTGCCAATAGGTGTACGTGGTGTACCTGGGCGAGCATGCCGGAGCGAAGGTAGAGGAAGAAATCCTCGCCGGTCACCATGGCCTCCTGCTCTCCGTCAAGGGCAGGTAAACAATAATGCAATAAATCAATTATACAAAAACCATCATTGACATCTAATTATGCGCTTCTCCTGTAGCTCCATCAGCTGTCTGATGTGAGATTGACGGATTATACTTGCTTCGATTAAAAGTCAGTAACTAAACTAATCATGCAACACGCTCTCTGTCCATCGAACAGTGAGGAGGAGGCACGGGCGTCGCTGTTGTACAGCTACAAGCACAGCCTGAATGGCTTCGCGGCCCTTCTCTCCGAGGAAGAGGCCACAGCGCTGTCAGGTACGTACATGTCACACGCACAGTGACACGCAGAGATGATGAGAACAATTCGAATGCTGACTGTACATGTATGTAATACAGTAATAGTACAAATGATGAAATGAATGCTTTGTGTTTTATTCAGGAGTGGCTAAAACAATCAATTACATGTGGCCTGCAAGTGATAGATTGTATCTTTGTGCTCGTACTCATGCTTGATTAGTGCTGTGTGTGCAGCGAGGACAGAGGTGGTGTCTGCCTTTCCGAGTAACGGGAGATGGAGCCCGCACACCACGAGGTCTTGGGAGTTTGTGGGGTTGGAGGAAGGGGTGCGAGGTCCGGACGACACCGGCCGGCTGCCGCCCGGCGACAAAGCCGGCGGCGAGGATGTCATCGTGGGCGTGTTGGACTCCGGTGAGTAGTCCGATGTATGTCTATCTATCAATTAAATCATACATATTTCGTCGATTTGACTAATATGATAAAGCATATATCCGGTTAGATATAGAGACCGGGTAAAAATACCATTCTCTAAAAAAATATAAAAAAATTGTTTGCTGTGTGTTAGGGCATCCGCAATGGTTATTTATAGGCTCTCTACAAGAGATTCATGTCAGCATATTTTCCTACTTGGAAGAGATTAAATGAAGAGAGAGAGCAAATCTATCTATTAACCTGGAGATAGTCTATATAGAAAAACGAGACAATAGATTAGAAAGCTATAGATACCCATATAGA